AAGTGCAGCAGTTCGAGTTGCCACGTTCCAAATAGCACACAGAGGTAGACAAGAAGATGAGTGAAGAGAATTAATAGAGTTTGACAAATATAAGAGTGAAACAGAATGGGTAATGGTAGAAAGGAATATGAAAGATTACAGAGATTGAATACATCTGCGCCATTGACAACGATTTTGAGCCATGTCACCTATTGTCTCCAGCCATTGATTCCTAGAGTCCCGAGGGCCCCAACCCGGGAGTCTGCATCTCCCTACCTGACTCAGTTTAACTGTCAAGGATTTCATGGATTGATGCCATGTTTTTGTTTGGCCACCACTGGCTCTTTTCCAACCTGAACCTATATCAGCTAACAATGCCCGTCGGGGGAGGCGGTGGTTAGGCATGCGCACCACGTGACCTAGCCATCTTAGTCTATGTAACTTTATAACCTCGTCGATTGATTTTCCCTCTTTGCCCAACACTCTACGCCTAACGTCAACATTACTTACCTTGTGAAACCACCTAACGTGAGACAGAGATCGCAGACATCTATGATCGAAAGCAGTCAACCTTTTCATGTCTTCAACGCGTATTGGCCATGTTTCAGAGCCATAGAGAAGGACGGAGCGAACTGATGAGCAGTACACACGTCCCTTGGTTGATAACCGGATGTCACGCCTACGCCAGAGATGGTGTAAGTCAGCGAAAGCAGCTCGAGCTTTTCGGATCCGTGCTGAGATTTCATCGCCAATCAGTCCGTTGGTGCTAATACAACTTCCCCAATAGGTGAAGTGGTCAACATGTTCTATCACTTCACTCCCTATCACTAAGTTAAGGGTTGACGTGGTCCAGTCCTGTAGCAGCATCTTACATTTTGCAGGGGCGAATCGCATGCCAAACATACGAAGATTGCTGCTCAAGGTGTTCAGAAGACTCTGCATTTTGTCAGCATCCTCCCCTAACAGGACTATGTCATCTGCATATTCTAAGTCCATTAGATTATTCCCTGGTAACAAGTCGATTCCTAAGTCACTACGTTCAGTTAAGGATACTTCCATTAGCATATCTATGATGAAGTTAAACAGAAATGGGGAAAGTGGACATCCCTGTCGGACACCACTGGTTGTTACCAATTCAGATGACAATTCCCCATAAGCCCTTACACGACTACGTGAGTTTGAATAGAGTGCCTTGATTAGTGCAATGTACTTTCTTGGCACTCCCTTCACAGTCAGACATTGCCATAGTACCTTTCGGTCCACGGAGTCGAAGGCCGCCTTCAAGTCAAGAAATATGACAATTGTTGGACGCCGAAAAGTGTGTCTATGTTCTAGAATCTGTCGAAGAGTGAAGATATGATCTATGCACCCTCTACCTGGTCTAAAGCCTGCTTGATTTTCCCTTGTCTGTTCCTCCCGAGTTCTGCTTAGTCTATGCATGATTACTGAGCCTAGGATTTTAGAGACTATGTTCGTTAGGCTGATCCCCCTATGATTATCACACGAGGACTTGTTTCCCTTCTTGAATATCGGTATAATGAGTGACTTACCCCAGTCTGATGGTACTGTCTCTGATTCCCAGACTTTGCCTAGTACCTCAGTTAATCTACAAACTAGTATGTCACCCCCATATTTAAACACCTCCGGAATAATTCCGTCGGGTCCTGCCGCTTTGCCTCGTTTCAAATTACTGATAGCTTTTGTAACCTCACCTACAGACGGCGGACCAGTGTCTATATCCCATTCGGGTACGTGGTGGATGGCGGGGAGGTTCAGTGTGGCTGTAGGCAAGTTAAATTGTTCCTCAAAGTGTTCTTTCCAGCGTTCAAGGCGTCTATCCTGAGAGCTAATTAAGGAGCCATTTTTCTCAGAAATAGTCTCACTTATGAATTGCCTTTTCCCGCCCGATTCTGTGATGAGTCTAAAGAGTTGCCTAGTGTTGCCTATCGCCAATGCTTTTTCCATCTCTTTCGCCTTTGTCACCCACCACTGTTCACGGTCCTTGCGGAGACTTTTAGTAAGTTTCCTTTTGTGCAGCTTTCGCTCCTCATTGAATTCGGAGCTCGCCGGAATAAGTCTTCTAGCATCTATCAGTTCGGATGAGGCAGTCGAAATCCAGTGGTTTTTACTCACCTTTGGATTTGTCTTATTCACAGCTTTTACAGCTGTATCTATAGCTGACTGAATATTCTTCCAGGCTTCTCCAGGGTGAGCACAGCTGTCGATTCAGATATGCGTTTAGCTAGTTCTTCCTCAAATAGGGATTTAGTTTCCTGATCGAGCTGGGGGCGTAATGGTTTTACCGCCAGCTGTTTCCTACGTCCGTTCAGTCGTAAGCACACACGAGCCCGGACCAGTGCGTGATCGGTATCTACACACGTGTTCCAGAAGGAGCGACAATCTCCTACCGACCCACGCCAACGATAGCTTATTGCTATGTGGTCTATTTGTGTCCAGCGTTGGTTTGATGATGGGGGTCGCCAGGTTAAACAGTGTCTCTCCTTGTGTTTAAAGTTAGTGCTTACAAGAAACAAATGATTATCTGAACAGAACTGTAGGAGACGGTCACCGTTGTCGGTTCGCTGGCACGGAACTCCATAGGTGCCACCGACATCCTTCTCAGATTGACACAATTTCCCTACTTGAGCGTTGAAGTCACCAGCTAGAACGACTATATCTGAGCGTTTAGCCTTTCTCACCAAACTAGACAGCTTTTGGTAGAACTCATCCTTCGTTTCATCCGAACTGCAGTCAGTGGGGGCGTAGGCGGAGATTACGAAAAGGCATCGGCGAGTAGTGCAGTCCTTTCTCCTTCTTACTGATCCGTTCAGACGGACAGCACACATTCGGCTATCTACTGGGATCCAGTCAAGCAATGTCTTTTCTGCCCTAGTACTCAGAGCTATCCCTACGCCAGCTAATCCCGTGAACTAGCTGTGGCATCTCCTGACACCCTCAAGGTGAATTTTGAAGATTCATCCTGTTGGCCAGGTGGGGTTAGGTGAATAACCACACTTGGGTCTTGTATGCGTGTTTCTGAAACACAACATACATCAATGGCTCGAGATGCCAGGGTCTTAGCTAGTGATGCTTGTTGTCCTATTTGGCAAAGTGTCCTTACATTAAATGCTCCTATATGAAATTGGTGGCGTGGCTTTAGGAGACTATCCGTGGTGGTTTTTTGGCTTTCGTCGTTTTTAGTGGACACAGAGTGAAGAGGGAGTGAGGAGCCATCAAGTAGAGGAGTTGCATCACTGGGGGAAGGTAAGGTAATAGAGATGAAGATGAAGACAAAGATAAGTGAGGATTAGAGAGGTTTTGTGTGCGTTTTGGATTGTGAGGGCGATTGTTACTTCCCGGCTGCCCACACCGTGGAAGTTGGTTGCGTGACCGCAGAGCCCAGGGGACAACTGCTTGTGGCCGGTCACACGCGGCCTGTTTTTGTTCGTTCTTCGTTGTTTTGTGTGCCTCAGTAGCATACTTATCACTCCCGCCCTGTGACACGGCAGCAGGAAGCGCGGTCGTTGTTAATCCGGGCCACGGCCGATCCGGCATGAAATTTTGTGAATTTGTTTGGATCATGGTATTGGATGAGGTAGCTGCTTTTTGTTTAACCGCTATCCAAACAACCTGCCTGGCATGGTAGAACCTCAAGAGACATAAGTCTCAGCCAGTATAGCTTGATTAGGTCATTGCGGTGTTCAAGCCCGACCACCACGTCAAGGTAGCAGCTTTCGGTCGGGATGTTCGGCTAGTCTGACTGTATCTGTCCTACTAGTTTGACCTATGTATTTGACCTGACAGTCATTGGCGGATGACAGAGTTATAACCTTTGAGTAGCTTGTTATAACCTTTCCTTTCATCTGTGTGTATTATTGATCCCCGTTTCACAAGTCGAATAATAATAGGTATTAGAATAGTTGCCTTTCTGTCTGGTATTCTTTCCACGAATCCTTTTCGTAGGGAAATGTCGTATAAACCAATTACCTAAATATTGTTGGCTCGCTGACGACCATGGTTCTATTTTTCCTTCAGCAACACAGTTTCATCCACGTGCATAACGATGCCTTCTCCATCCAACAAAGAAGTAATTTTCTCCATTTTCCATGATGCAATGTCTCTGCAGTGCTGATATTTCTATGAACTGTTGACACGAGGCTATTCTCGGTTCCAGCAGCTGTGCCTCTCTCTCACAGGCTGTTTTAAAACCCAGTAGTTACAAATGTACAAGATCTGTGTCAAGGAGACATTTGACTTAGCAAAAAAATGTTCCTACGAAAATATTAAAATTATCAACTTACCTTCTCTAATGCTAACTCGTCTCAAACAGATTACACAACGATGGACATATCCATCAGTCGACCTGCGCTAAAGCGTTTTGAAAGTCATCACACCCCACCACACGAATAAATTCTCTTCTTCCTAAGCAACCTTAAATCTAGGCAATACTGAAAAAAAAACATTATCCTCCTCGAATTGCTACCGTAACCTTTGTTAGGGCAGGCATTTGATATGAATCAAGGGCTGTACAACATTGAACTCACGTTCATGAATCTCATTGGATAATTCAACGTCGTTCGCTGATTGGTAGTTAGTGGTGCTTATAGTTTAACTTGACCCCTGCTTGATATTATTGCAGCTAGAACATTAGATATCATATTAGTCAAGCTCTAATCCTTTTGTGATTATCACAGGTATTTTCTTTCTTAACACAGATGAATAAATTGGGGATTATTTCTGGACGAAATATTCACTCACAACGATTAGTGAATTGTCCAGTCCATGCATAAAAACAAAGAACACCAGGTGCCACAAACTTTGTAGTAATACAATTATAAAAAAAACACAACAGCACAGTATTGTTTCTGGTACATTATTTTTTTATTTCTTTTATTTCTTCTAACATTATTGTTTATTTTATCACAAAAACTGTTTATTTTATTGGTTTTTTTTTCTCTCTCTCTTCTTTTCATTAATTTTTCCCTCTGTGGTGCGTGCTTTGCGTGCATACGAATACACAGGAATGATTTTAGTCAACTTGTTGGCGAAGAGTTTGCAAGCTTTTTTAATTTTACCAATCAACGTTTAGATGTTGCCTTGAGAACATTTTTAAATAGTTTTGCCTTGACTGGGGAATCACAAGAAAGAGAACGTATCCTGTTACACTTTTCAAGACGTTTTCATGCTTGTAATCCAAATGTTTATACGTCTGAAGGTTAGTCATTATTATTATTATTATTATTATTATCTTTATTGATTTTTGTAGTATGATATTATTAATATTATTATTCGCACGAGTTCCGAGTGGAACGTAGGGCTTCAACAACACATCTCCACTTTTTCCTATCTTCTGCCCCCAATCTCTCATCTCTTCTGACTGTCCACACGATCTCCTCCATGTCACCCTCGCAGTGACGACCAACTCATCGCTTCCCATTAGGATTCTGTTATGTACTCGTCGCTAAATTATTGTTATGTACTGGTCGAGAAACTAATAGTCCTGACGCAAGAAGGCGGAAATCAGAAGACCACTAGGTTTGCGATGATACTTCTATTTTCCAAACACAAGGAGAATGCAAAAGTGGTATCACACCAAAGATAAGTAAGTAAGTCACACAAATTGTGAGAACGAAATATATATATGACCATCCAGACAAGTGTGTGAACAATCAATAGACAGTCTTAACATGAATGGCTAATTATAATGAAGTATCGATCCATATATACATAGCGAAATATAGCAGACATGTCAACAACCACCATATATGAATATATGTCACCAAGCAACGGACTGTCAACAAACACTCATATTATATTATATATGATATAAGGAGAATATACATTGTTAAAGGAGACAGGTTCATACAAGTGAAATGGTCACAGACTAAGCGAGCAAACAGAAAGAGAGACCAACATACACACACACATAAATATATATATGTGGATACATATCAGATTCTACTCGATCCACGGCCTGCATTGCACACGATGTCATTCTATGGTCTCCTCAATGTATGCTCTATCTATCTGTCTCCATTTTCTCCTACATATTTGTTGAGCGATCGGCTGTCGCCTGTTGGTTTGTTCCCAGTCAACTAGAGTTTCTTGTTACTAATTCTTTCTGGCCATTTGATCTTCATATTATGAAGCCAGCGAATGCAGCGGTTGATAAAAGTCTATTGGACTGTTGAAAATCCTTTTCGTGACACACAGTGAAAGTTGTTTCTGACCTGTATAGAAGGATTGGCATCGGTGGCCTACAGCGGTTAGGACACTCGCAGACCATGCACATGGTCCGGGGTTCGATCCTCGGCCACGGACGCACTTCCTTACCTCTCTAAGCCAGTAGTGAGACTGGTAAAGAGTGTGAAGGCTTGGGTATGAGGCTAGCAACCCCATCCTGTAAAAATTAAACACACTGCTACAGAAACTTCAAGCCACTAGCTTGAGGGTGCCCTATGTTCCACTGGGAACGTGAAGGAAACAAAAAATGAAGGATTGACTTGAGATTGGTGTTGAAAATCTGAATCTTGTTCTTTATGTTGAGTGCAGGAGATTTCCAAATTGGTTTCAGGTTGATGAAGGTGTGCGTATCTTGCTTTTTCGATTCTGCCTGGTTGACCGGCTTTGACATCTTCAGTCTTTCCGACTGCCTGTGATGGAAACCATGCTTCCTGGTTTCTTGACCTAAAGGCAGCATTCGACTCTGTCGATCGGGAAGTTCTCTGGAGATGCTTGGCTGTAAAGGGAATTCCAAGAAAATATATTGCACTGATTGAGGCACTCTACTCGTACTCATACAGCCAGGTGAGGGCTTACGGCGAGCTGTCATCTGAACTGATGACGACCAGTGGTGTCCGTCAAGGATGCCCATTATCCCCTTTTCTATTCAACTTCATCATAGATGTGTTAATGGACTTAACCCTAAGTGACTTCAGCGACTCAGGGATTGACTTGCTACCGGGGAATAATCTCGTTGACTTAGAATATGCAGACGATATAGTCCTTCTAGGCGAAGACGCTGACAAAATGCAGAGTCTTCTAAACACCTTGAGCAGTAGCAATCTACGAATGTTTGGCATGCGATTCGCTCCCGCCAAATGCAAGATGATGTTACTGGACTGGACTACATCGACGCCTAGTTTAAAAATAGGAAGTGAAGTGGTAGAGCACGTTAACCGCTTCACTTATTTGGGAAGTACCATCAGCCAGTGCCAACGGGTTGATCTCTGACGAAATCTCAGCACGAATACAGGGGGCTCGTTTCGCATTTACCAGTTTACGCCGACTCTGGCGTAGACGAGATATTCGACTTTCGACCAAAGGGCGGGTGTACTGCTCATCAGTCCGCTCCGTCTTCCTTTATGACGGGCTGTGAGACCTGGCCACTGAGAGTGGAAGACATGAAAAGACTAGCTGTCTTTGATCATAGGTGCCTGCGTTCTATCTCCCGTATAAAGTGGCATAATAAGGTGAGCAACATTGAGGTTAGGGGTCGGTCAAGTTCTAGGTAAACAGGGGAAATCAATCGACGAAGTCGTGAAGTTACAAAGACTGACATGGTTAGGACATGTGTTACGTATGGCAAGCCATCGCCTCCCTCGACAGTGAGCAATGTTAGCGGATATAGGGTCAGGCTGGAAAAAAGCTAGCGGCGATCAAACAAAAACTTGGCCTCACCAGTCAATGAAATCCACAACAGTTGGTCTAAGCCAGCCACGTAGGAAGGTGTAGACTTCCAGGCTGGGGTCCTCGGGACGGTAAAAATCTATGGTTGGAAACAATTGGTGACATGGCTAGCCCAAAATCGTTCTCAGTGGCTAGCGCAGATGCATCCACTCCTTGTGACTCATGATCTCCAATGAGACTGTTTTGTTCTTCGTTATTACTCCTCCTTTGTCTCACACCTCTGCTCACTGTCTCTATTATGCTTTTCTTGTACTTTCTTCTCTTGTTACGCGTGCTACACGGAGTGTGGCGACTTTAACTGGTGCACATTTGTGCAAAGTTCTATGTCGAAAACAAACAGACAGACAGATGCTTTCTGGTTGGATAAATGAAGAAAGTGACGTCTGTTAAATCTCTACCATTGATGGCGATTTGTGCGGGTTGTTGTTGTTGGTAGGTTGCTTATCTTCATCACCTCCGTCTTCTCTATGTTCTGTGGGAGTCCTGTCTTCGCCACTTCTTCAGCCAATTTTTTTTTGGTTTTCGCCTGTAAGTCTTCTAGTTTATGTGACATTAGACATTATTCATCCGCCGCAAAATCCAGATCTTCTAGTTGGAGTATTCTCATCGGTTGTCCACTGTATTCCTGACTCCTTGCTCCCCAGAGTCTGACGCATAATCTATTCTCCAGCTTGTCTTTCCCCATTGGAGTTCTATTTGAGAGATGGCCTAGCTCGCAATGTCCATCAGTGGTCCTCACAGTGTGTGTTTGATCCCCCTTTTTGGACGAGAAATGTCATCTGAAACAGGATTGATCAAGTTGGAAAAGAGCCAGTTGGTGGTAGTCAAAGGGAAGCATGGCTTTATCAGTCAATCAAATCCACAACAATGAGCTGAAGCCAGCCCGCAGCTATGTAGGGAGTTGTAGACTGGCGTCCTGACTGGCTCGGCTCCTCCGTATGGTAAGAACCAAACCAATGAAGGCTGGAGATAATTGGTGATATGGCTGGCTGAAAATCCTTGTTCTCAATGGCTCGTGAAGATGCATTCACTCTTTGCGATTTACTCTTCATATGCATGGAGGGAGAGTGGCAAGTTGAACCGGTGCACATCTGTGCAATGTTCTACTTTGAAACCAGTCAGTCAGTCCGTCCGATCCACCTTCATCTTTTGTGGCATATGTGTTGGGCAATATGTTGCTGTTTGGTTGATCCCTAGACGGTTAGAGTTCCTTGTCGGTACTCCTTTCTGGTCTTCAGTATAAAGCCAGTGAAGGCAGTTGTTGATGAAAATCTCTAGGCACTTCGAAATGCTTTCGGCAATGCACTCGCAACGGAAGTTTCTCATCCATATAAAACACAACTGACTGAACATTGGTGTTGAAAATTCGAATTTTTCTTCTTTATGTTGCAGAGTACCAAAAGTTTTCCACACTACTTTCAGAATGATGAATTCTTGTCTTGCCCTTTTGATTCTGGTTTGTTTCAACAATCGAATCCATGTTGTCCTTCATTGATGGTGGTCAGTGGGCATCATCATCATTATCAACTCTATGTCTTCTCTATGTTCACTTGAAATCCTGTCTTTGATGCCAGGCTCTTTTGCCAACGTGTTGGTTTCCAAGTTTGTGTAGTGTGAGACACAAAAGAGAATGATGCTCAGGAAGGCTCCATGTGCTTCTGGAAGTGCGTGGACGGTTGTTACTTCCCGGCTACCCACACCGTGGAAGTTGACTGATTCTTCGGGTACCTGAAACCGAAAGAGGGTTAGTGTTGCGTGACCGCAGAGCCCAGGGGACAACTGCTTGAGGCCAATCACACACGGTTCGCATGAACAGATCTCTTGGATTGGTTCCGTATTAGTAAATTTACCGCCAGTTACGGATTGTCATAGGTAGGGTAATTCGGGGGACCGATATGTTCTAACCCCTACCTCTCTCCAGAGTGGAGAGACAGTATAGGTGGCCCGCATCCTGGTCATCTGAGTGAGGTAAACACCTCACTGCTGTTACACCCCCCGTTCCCCAGCAGTACGGCTTCACCCACAGACTACCAGCATAGTGTAAGAAAGATTCTCGCACAATGTCGGTCGGTAACTGCTTTTAGTCTAACCGCTATCCCAACGACCTTCTTGGCCATGGTAGGACCTGCAGAAACATTGATTCCAGTCAGTGTAGCTTGTTGGGTCATCGCGATGTGCAAGCCCCGAGACCACCACGTCAAGGTAGCAGCAGCTATCAGTCGGTGAGACACAAAATTCATCCATAATGTCCAAATCTTCTAGGCTTTTCTTATTGGTCGACTGCTAAAGGGAAACGGAATTTTTTCTATTTTCCTTCTAACACCTTCAGCACATATTTTCGCATTTGTTTACTTTATAAACATGTTGAATATATACATATATTACACATTTAGCTTCTTCGTTGTATTGTTCTATTCTATCTCCTGTCTGTTTACTTTTAATATTAGTGTTATCGATCATATATTTATTATTTATATAGTTAGTTTGTTTATTAATAACTAGAAGGTGGTGGTGGTCGGTCGTGGTAGTGGTTATAAGCTTCTAAGTCAGTCAATTCGGTCATCATTAGGTGTTGTGATATATATATATATATATATATATATATATATATTAATCATTCCCAGTGTCTTTTGATTCATTGGTTGTAATTGATTGATTTCTTTATGAAAAAGCCATAAAAATAGGAGGGATAGAGAAATGGACAGCTAATCCCTTTTTTATCCTCATTTATCTACTTCTCCCCCCCCCACTACCTTCCTTCCATCAACATCTCTCTCAACACCCGCACCCCCCCCCAGGTAGCTTTAATCTGGAAGTAGGAGTGAATTCAATTTCAGACAAGCAAAGTGTTGGTTTGTAGGGATTTGATTGGTTAGAGCTGATATCGATTAAAGAGAACCATTGGAAAACTAGCCATTTGGGGGGGGGAGTATTGGATAGCCAATTGTTTCGTTCTAGTTTAGGACTTTCTGGTAGTACGCACCACAGGGCTTTCCCAGGTTACAAGGCGAGTTAGCTCGTAGACCATTCAGCCAATGGGACTTGGTTCAGTGACCAAGCCATGAATTCCAACTTCTGCCAATTCACATTATAGCTTGACCACTTACTAACCAATTTCATCAGTGGTGAGTATTTTTTCTTACACCCAATGAGCTGCTATAGCCTACTGGTCATGAAATCTCACTAGAAATCAGGTAACTACGTACCTGATTGGATCGGTTTCCAGGATTCCATGGACCATTATATAGAGGGTCTCATTGACTAAATGGTCTACAAGCAGCAGCACCCTTATAACGCCCGAAATTCCTGGGTTCGTGTTCATGAAGAGTCTCAAACTAGAACGAAACGACTGGTTGTTCAGTACTCATTTTGGTTGATTTTCCAATGGTCCTTTGACCGATGTCACTTCATGATGAAATCCAGAATTAAGATTCTTATGAGCGTGTATGCGTCGTGTGTCCTGACGACAAGACACTGAAAGAACTGGACATCGCAGATGATGATTTATATCTAATGTTGTCGTACAACTTTAGAGATCTACACAGGCGAATATAAACAACTTTGAAAAAAGAGACGATGGCAGCGAAGACAGGAGGACTTCAAGTGGTGGACGTAGGAGAAAGGCAGGGGTGATGAAAATATCCACTGACTACCACCACCAGCAACGTTCAGAAGCAATCACTGCCAAGAAGCCCAACCGATAGCCGCTACCTTGACATGGTGGTGGAGCTTGCACATCGCAATGACCCAACAAGCTGTGGAGAGAGAGGGGGTTAGAAAAGGTCGACTCCGAAAATTGTACAAGCCGATTTACTCCACCTACGGTGGTCGTAACCGGTGGTAAATTTACTAATACGGAACCAATCCAAGAGATGTATTCATTGAAGCCGTGTGTTACCTACCTGAAGCTGTTGTCCCCTGGGCTGTGTGGTCGCACAACACTAACTCTCTTTCTCAAACATCACGCACGCGAAGAATCAATCAATTTCCATGGTGTGTGCAGCCAGGAAGTAACAACTGCAAACACACTTCCAAAAGCACATAAAGCTCTGTCAAGCCCTGTCACCACTTTCACTTATCTGAGCAGCATTGTTCTGACCACCATCGGAACGGATGTCTATATCAGAGCCAAACAAGATCGAATTGAAAAAGCAAAACAGACTCTCATAAATAATCTGGTTGAATCAGTGCGGAAATCTACTGTTGATTTTCAACTAACAGCTACCTTCACTGTTTCGATACTTGAAGATCTGTTGACCAGCCAGAAGTAAGGGATAAGCAACAAGGAAGTCTGCCTAGCCACGAAGGAATCCAGGACCTATCACCCAACAAGTAAACAAAGAAAGAAATGGTGACAGATTCAACATACACTAAAAAGGACGGTGATTGACATCATACACCAGGCAAGCCGTCAAGTTCAACCCGAATGGAAAACAATGAGTTCGGCGATGTATCCGAGGGTGAAATGGAGGAGGTCTTGTGAAGAGGAAATGAAAGTTTATGGACTGTCGTTCAGGACTTCAGAGTATAGATTGAAGTCAAGGTATTCTGTTAAAGTCCATGTCCTAGTCCTAATGAACACCTTCCATATCGTACTATTATTATTGTCATTAAATCACAGACAATAAATCATTGGGCTTCAAGAGATGCGCCTCACAAGAACTCATAGTTTGCGCGAGGACAGGGACGCTTAGACCGAAGCAGATGTACGTCTTAAGGGGTCACCCTCGCCCGTGAAGCTTTTGGCTTTAAATCTGATGCACAAGTCAGTCTGTTTTCGACATAGAACTCTGCACAAATGTGCGCCAGTTCAAGTCGCCACACTCCGTGTAGCACGCGAAGCAAGAGAAGAAAGTACAAGAAAAGCATAATAGAGACAGTGAGCAGAGGTGTGAGACAAAGGAGGAGTAATAACGAAGAACAAAACAGTTTCATTGGAGATCATAAGTCACAAGGAGTGGATGCATCTGCGCCAGCCATTGAGAACGATTTTGAGCTAGCCATGTCACCAATTGTTTCCAACCATAGATTTTTACCGTCCCGAGGACCCCAACCAGTCAGGAAGTCTACACCTTCCTACGTTGCTGGCTTAGACCAACTGTTGTGGATTTCATTGACTGGTGAAGCCAAGTTTTTGTTTGACCGCCGCTAGCTTTTTTCCAGCCTGACCCTATATCCGCTAACATTGCTCACTGTCGAGGGAGGCGATGGCTAGGCATACGTAACACATGTCCTAACCATCTCAGTCTTTGTAACTTCACGACTTCGTCGATTGATTTCCCCTGTTTACCTAGAGCTCTACGCCTAACCTCAATGTTGCTCACCTTATTATGCCACTTTACACGGGAAATAGAGCGCAGGCACCTATGATCAAAGACAGCTAATCTTTTCATGTCTTCCACTCTGAGTGGCCAGGTCTCGCTCACAACCATAAAGGAGGACGGAGCGGACTGATGAGCAGTACACCCGCCCTTTGGTCGATAGTCGAACATCTCGTCTACGTCAGAGTCGGCGTAAACTGACATATGCGAAACGAGCCCCCTGAATTCGTGCTGAGATTTCGTCAGAGATCAACCCGTTGGCACTGGCTGATGGTACTTCCCAAATAAGTGAAGCGCTCAACGTGCTCTACCACTTCACTTCCTATTTTTAAACTAGGCGTCGATGTAGTCCAGTCCTGTAACATCATCCTGCATTTGGCGGGAGCGAATTGCATGCCAAACATTCGTAGATTGCGGCTCAAGGTGTTTAGAAGACTCTGCATTTTGTCACGGTCTTCACTTAGAAGGACTATATCGTCTGCATATTCCAAGTCAACGAGATTATTCCCCGGTAGCAAGTCAATCCCTGAGTCGCTGAAGTCACCTAGGGTTAAGTCCATTAACATATCTATGATGAAGTTGAATAGAAAAGGAGATAATGGGCATCCTTGACGGACACCACTGGTCGTCATCAGTTCAGATGACAGCTCGCCGTAAGCCCTCACCTGGCTGTATGAGTACGAGTAGAGTGCCTTAATCAGTGCAATATATTTTCTCGGAATTCCCTTTACAGCCAAGCATCTCCGGAGAACTCGATCGACAGAGTCGAATTCTGCCTTAGGTCAAGAAATATAATGATTGTTGGACGCCGGTAGGAATTCCTATGTTCTAGAATCTGTCGGAGGGTGAAGATATGATCAATGCACCCTCTTCCTGGTCTAAAGCACGCCGCCTGGCTCTCTCGTGTTTGTGCTTCCCGAGCACCACTTAGTCTACGCATGATTATTGAGCCTAGGACTTTAGATACTATATTTGTCAAGCTAATCCCTCTGTGATTATCACAGGAAGACTTGTCTCCCTTCTTGTATATGGGGATAATCAGTGACTTACACCAACCTGATGGGACTTCTTCTGATTCCCAGACGCTGGGAACACCTGCGTTCGTATGGTCTCTGGTGACCAAAGCAGTCCCATAAGCATACATCCATCTACACCTCAGGATTGGAATCGAGGTAATCTACCAATCCGTTTGTAAGTGTCAGACATTTGAATTAGCCCTTTGAGTTTTGTGAGAAATGCCCGCGTCTCCACATGTAAAGGTGATGAATAGGACTTACTTGACAGGGGTGGGCTATGAATGCGTGACCACATGAGAGGGTCTATCCACCCTAGACAATAGCAGGTATTTTATGGGATATATATATCACGCTTATATGTGTTTATGCGTTTGTTTCCCTTTCTATGTATTACGTAATTCATATTCTTCCTCTTAATGTTTTTTCCTAATTTGTCATAGATGCATGTCATACTTTGGTCTGTGCACTAATGCTACTCAATACGGATCTGCATAGTCAAGTAAGCTGTAACATTAAATTTACTCTAACTACTTCTGTTGTTGCTGTAATCATGAATATAACACATATTAATTTTTCTTTTATTTACTGGGAATCACAAGAGGGGAAATAGAGCGTCGTCACTTCAATACATATAAATTGTTTCAGTTACATATGTATATTCTAACTTTAAAAATATCTGTTATTTTATAGGATCTGTAGATATTCACTATGGTAGTGTTCTATGCATTTAAGTGGGTGCAATAATAATAATGAGGTCGTAAGGTTGATTTTCCCAATATTTTGGATTCCCCACCATTGATAATAATTTCCTGTGTATTATATGTCAAACAGAGAGAAAGACAGAGTCTCTATTTGTGGAGCTGGTCAACTGAGTACACTTGCATAACCAGTAAATGTTGTACTAACCGACACTCGTCAACAACACTTATTTTTATTCAAGTATTGATTTGTACCGACTTAATTGATTGGTTACAGGATTTCATCATGAGCTGACATCGGGTTCCTCAGTGGCTTAATTGTCGTCTACGAGCTAGCTCACTTTGTAACCAGGAGCTCCTGGGTTTCAACCCTGGCGGTGGGTGCGTACTGAAGAGTCGCAATCTAGGCTGACGAGACAGCTCTCCAGTGCTTCTTCGTGGTTTTCCAGTGGTTCTCTAACTGATGATGTCAGCTCATTTTTCTTTAAAAGTCAATGCGTATAGTGTGACCACTAACCACTGTCTTCAGTGGCGGATATTTGTCCTCACACCCGATGACCTGTCTACTGGTCTCCTGGTCATGACTTTTCACCAGAATCCAAGTAACTAACCTACCTATGGGTGGGTGTCGATGAAGAGTCTTTGACGAGGACGAAATAACCGTTCAGTACTCCTTGTGGATGGTTTTCTAATGGTTCTCTGATTGATATCATCAAATGAGATTATATACTTACATTTTGCATTATGAAAATTTTTAATTTATAAACGTTAAGTAAACTCTTGGAACTCGTTTTACAAGATCACGTTTTTTTGTCTGTCGCTGTCTTTTCTCCACCTTCCTCCACTCTGTTTCCCTCACACACACACACACACACAGACAAACAAACACTGAAATTCTCTGTCTTTCAGTGACCATCAACCAATTTTCATCAGTGGGGAATCCATCCTCACTCCCGACTGGATAGACCCCACCGGTCATTACTTCTCACTAGAACACCTGGCAACTTTGTTCTGTAGCCAGTTACTAGCGAGCACCACTGGGGTGCATTCAGTTTGGAGTGAGGATTGAGTTCCCCCCCCCCAATAACATTGGTTGGTGGTGGTCGCGCTAAAAATCAAAAATTGGTAGAAATTAGAATTTTCAGTATTGATTTTTGTAGGAATTTAGTTTGATTGATTGGAGGATTTCATCATGAGTTGATATTGGTTAGAGAACCACTGGAAAATCATCCACGCGGGGTAATAAACAGCTAGGTGTTTCGTCAGCCTAGTTTGGGACTCTTCATCAGTAATCGCCCACTGGGTTTCGAACTCAGGGCCCTCTGCTTACAAGGCGAGCTCTTAGACCACTAAGACCCGATCCAATGGCCCATGAATTCATGGGCTGACCACTAAGTTGGGTCCCAGCGACTGAATGGTATACGAGTTAGTCTTAATTGTGACCAGAAGGTCCTGGATTCAAAACCCAATGGGTGCGTCGGTGGCACAGTGGTTAGGACTCTCGCCAACCATGTACATGGTCCGGGGTTCGAGCCCACGCCGACGCACACCTGGTATCTATGGTCGGCCTGCGAAATTTGGGCTACCGATATCCATGCTGAAAATTCCATACTTGTACCAAAAATACTGTGTGGAATCAAGTTGTAATCAAAAATAAAATAAATAAATAAAGAGTCGCGAAGTAGGACGAAACGGCCAGCTGTCCAGTACTCCCAGGTGGCTTTCAATGCTTCTCTAACTGATATCAATCCGTGGTGTAACCTGAAACAAACAGAATCCTTACAAACTAATTCTTGCTAATATTGAGTAACGCTGGTTACAATCGGCGTATCGTCGAATTTTTTGGCAAGTGCTCAGCTTCATTGACTGGTTGACTGAGTGAGTATTGGCGTAAAACTTTGTACAGATATGCAGGAGTTCGAGTTGCCACATTCCATATAGCCCACAAACGTAGTAAAAATAGAGGTTTAAAACATGGTGAAATCCGTGTCGCCTTGTGTATATCCTTGTGTTTGAACACACTGCCACCAATCACCAAATCATTGAAGGCGCAGAAGTCTGAGAAGAGCTCACCATTGTCGTTCATTTCACCGAGAGCCTCGCGACCCATGGTGAGTTCTCTTCCTGTGTTGTTTCCTCACATTCATATCAGCCATCAGGATTTTGATATCTCCATTTGAGACGTTGTCGATTACTGTTTGTAGTTGTCTGTAGAACGCCTCCTTCTTTTCTTGTTCTGAGACGTTTGTACGCGCATAGCATTGAATGACTGTAACTTTCCTTCCTTTTGAGTTGAACTTGGCTGTCAGTATCCTGGAGGAGATTGGTTCCCACTGCATGAGGGCTTTGGCTGCTGTTGGTGACATCATGATGGCCACTCCCTCGGTGTACTCGTGGTTGTCCTCTGGGTGACCGGAATAGATTACTGTCTCTCCAGTTGATAGTTGGCACCTTCCACATCCGTTCCATCTGCTCTCGCAGATTCCCAACACTTCTATTCTCTTAGCGTCTATAGGACCCCGCAAATAGACTGTCTACACCTCCCTAGGTGATTGGCTCAAACCAAAATGTCAAAAGCTTCATGAGTTGATTGATATCCAACATAATCCTCTACCAGCTAATGTTGTTCTTCGGGGAATGCGATGACTCAATATGGTTCACACGTGCGCCAGCTATCTCAATTGGTTCACATTCATAACTTCATCGATCAACGACTTCGCATCCCCTCATATAGCTGTCTATACTCCTCACTTCAATTTCACTCGCTGGTCAAGTTGAACTTTAATCACCACTAACTACCAATGGAATGCGACCACACCAATGTGACCTTAAAACTCCCACTGGGCAAGTTAGTAAAACCTGGCAAATAATATTGTCATCATCAATAAAATATGCTCATCGAAGTGTGTTATGCTATTAAATGGGATATCTGGCAAGTTTCAGCTTAGATTTGAAAAAAGGATTAAGTTACGCTTTAAGCCAAGGATAAGATAGGGTTAGGTTCAGAGAAGATTAGGGTTATTTTAAGGGTTAGAAGACCTAAGTAATTGCATGCATAGGGCGTGGTTAAATTACTCTATTGGTATAAGAATAGAACTTGTGCACTGTGGTGGTGGTGGTGGTCGAGACCTGGCCACTCAGAGTGGAAGACATGAAAAGACTAGCTGTCTTTGATCATAGGTGCCTGCGCTCTATTTCCCGTGTAAAGTGGCATAATAAGGTGAGCAACATTGAGGTTAGGCGTAGAGCTCTAGGTAAACAGGGAAAATCAATCGACGAAGTCGTGAAGTTACAAAGACTGAGATGGTTAGGACATGTGTTACGTATGCCTAGCCAGCGATCGCCTCCCTCGACAGTGAGCAATGTTAGCGGATATAGGGTCAGGCTGGAAAAAAGCTAGCGGCGGTCAAACAAAAACTTGGCTTCACCAGTCAATGAAATCCACAACAGTTGGTCTAAGCCAGCAACGTAGGAAGGTGTAGACTTCCTGACTGGTTGGGGTCCTCGGGACGGTAAAAATCTATGGTTGGAAACAATTGGTGACATGGCTAGCTCAAAATCGTTCTCAATGGCTGGCGCAGATGCATCCACTCCTTGTGACTTATGATCTCCAATGAAACTGTTTTGTTCTTCGTTATTGCTCCTCCTTTGTCTCACACCTCTGCTCACTGTTTCTATTATGCTTTTCTTGTACTTTCTTCTCTTGCTTCGCGTGCTACACGGAATGTGGCGACTTGAACTTCCGCACATTTGTGCAGAGTTCTATGTCGAAAACAGACAGACAGACAGGTGGTGGTCGAGTATAATTCTATTGTGTGTACAATTTATTTTGATAAAGTCTCACAGTGTGTTATACAGTAATATTTACTGATGTGACCACGTTTCAAGCACAATTTACTGCTCAGTAAATATTACTGTATAACACACTATGAGACCTTATCAAAATGAAATTCTACCCCCCCCCACAATGGAGTTATACTCTGTTGATACACCAACCCAAAAACTGAGAGGAAGGTGTCCTCTGTAACACGTTCCCCCACAGTTTTTATGCATTTTTCCCTAAATGTAGGGTATTCCATACACACACATAAAATATCTCCTTCATGTGATTGATGCGTTCAAGGTCATTCGCTATGATTGGTAGTTATTTAGTTAGTTAGTTAGTGGTGCTTAAAGTTTAACTTTACCCACTCACTCTATATTCTATCGCTTAACACGGAAGACAGAACACAAACAAACGTTTGTGATCAAAATCAACTCTTCCACTTTTATTGACCACCATGCCAGACCACTGACAGACTAACTGACTGACTGGTGGTTTCAACTTGGAATTTTGCACAGAAGTGCATCATTTCAACTTACCATACTTCTGTGTAGACAGAAGAGTGGGAATAAAATGCGATTCAAGAGAATAAACAATAATAGGCATATAATTGTCTCAATCTGTCTGGATTCAACATAGAACTTGGCACCGAAGTGCACAGTTCGAGTTGCCACGTTCCAAATAGCACACAGAGGTAGACAAGAAGATGAGTGAAGAAATCAATACAGTCTGACAAGTATAAGAGTGAAACAGAATGGGTAATGGTAGAAAGGAATATGAAAGATTACATAGACTGAATACATCTGAGCTGGCCATTGACAACGATTTTGAGCCATGTCACTTATTGTCTCCAGCCATTGATTGATTCCTAGAGTCAGTCCCGAGGGCCCCAACTCGGAAGTCTGCATCTCCTACCCTACCTGACTGACTCAGTTTAACTGTCAAGGATTTCATGGATTGATGAGGCCATGTTTTTGTTTGGCCACCACTTACTCTTTCCCAACCTGCACCTATATCAGCTAATAATGCCCATCGGGGGAGGCGACGGTTAAGCATGCGCAGCACGTCACCTAGCCATGTCAGTCTATGTAACTTTATAGCCTCGTCGATTGATTTTCCCTCTTTGCCTGTCCAACACTCTACGCCTAACGTCAACATTACTTATCTTGTGAAACCACCTAACGTGAGACAGAGATCGCAGACATCTATGATCGAAAACAGTCAACCTTTTCATGTCTTCAACTCGTACTGGCAGATAATTGAGGATGTGTGGGTAGCACAGCAGTAGAATTTTCGCCAACCAACCACACAGGTGGTTCGGGGTTCGATCCCCGGCCACCGACACACTCGTTTACCTCGCTAAGCCAGTAATAAAGCTGGTAAAAAGAGAAGGTTGAGCATGAGGTTAGCAGTTCCTTCCCGTAAAAGTAAACACCACTGCTACCGAAATTTCAAACCTCTCTAGCTTGAAGGCACCCCATGTTCAAGCACTGGGAATGTGAAGGAATAAAAGAATTGATAGAAAGAGTGAATGCATCTGCACCAGCCATTGAGAACGATGATTTTGAGTCATATCGCCGATAGTCTTCAGCCTTCATCGGCTTCTACTATCCCGAAGACCCGAACTAACCAGTTAGGACGCCAACACCTCCCTACGTGGTTGGCTCAAGTCAACTGTCAAGGATTTCATGAACTGATTCCAAAGTTTGGTTTGACCACCCACTACTAACTAGCTGTTTTCTAACCTGATCCATCCAATGTCCAGCTAGCTTATATTGTCCTTTGTGTCGAGGAAGGCGTTGGCTAGGGATGCACAACATTTTCTCTATCGTTGTGGTTAATTGGTGGATGGTGACTAGCAGTGGAATCCAGGAGGCGTATTTCGTCTTATCAAAAATTCAATTAAATGTTCTCTATCCGTTTCATCAAATGATGCCACTTTATAAACCTCATCGATCGATCTCGACCGACAGCTGGTACCTTGATGCGGTGGTCTCGGGGCTTGCATATCTCAATGACCCATCAAACTGCACTGGCTGGAACTATTGTTCCTGCAGGTCCTACCATGTCAGGATGGTTGTTAGGATAACAATTAGAGTAAAAGCAGTTACCGACATTGTGCAAGAATCTTTCATACACTATGCTGGTGGTCTGTGGGCGAAGTCGTACTGCTGGGGAATAGGGATGTAACAGCAGTGAGGTGTTTCCCTCAAATGACCGACATGCCAGCTATGCTGTCTCTCCACTCAGGAGAGAGATGGGGGGCAGAAAAGGTCGACCCCAAAAATTGTACCTACCGACTTACCCTACCTACACTGGTCCGTAACCGGTGCTAAGTTTAATAATACGGAACCAAACAAAGAAACCAGTTCATACAGGCTGTGTGTGGCTGGCCTGAAGCAGTTGTCCATGAGCTCTGTGGTCACGCAACACTACCCCTCTTTTGGTTTCAGGTATCCGAGGAATCAACTAATTTCCATGGTATGGGAAGCCAGGAAGCGAAAACTACCCGCACACTTCCAAGAGCACACGAAGCTTCCCGAGCATCATTCGCCTTCATCGATCGGCTTCCCCACTTTATCCATATTAGTTTGACGCCTCAACCAATCAGTCAGCTGATCTATTTATGTATTTCTCCGTATTTTGTAATCTATCAGTTTTAACGATTTCATCCACGTTGGTTTATTTTGCTTTAAAAACTTTTTTTTCTTTCTTTCTGTCTTGTTATAAATAGAGTGTTTCAAAGAAAATGTCCTGTCAAGAATTTATTAATAATCTTAGTCAAATAAACTGTGGTGAAATCTACTGTAAAGAGGATTTAAAAACTTTATACAATGCTATCAAACAAGAACCAATTCGTTGGCCACATCAGTAAGTTACCATTTTTATTATTTATTTATTTATTTATTTTATTTCCCTACGTTCCGAGTGGAACATCAAGTTTTTATCTTTATCAAGCCATTGGGCTTTACAGTTTCAGTAGCAAAGGTGTTTCTTATTTCTTTTGCCACGTGGAGTTGTTAGACCTTCTGACTGATCAAGGGTTGGGAGTGCGTCGTCCGAGGATAGATCACTGGACTAACTGGTTGTCATCAGGTGAACGACACTGAGGTTAGGCATCGGTCGAGTGCTAGTTGGTAAGAAGGGGAAATCAATCGATAAAGTTGTGAAGCCGTTACATCGGTTGAGATAGTTAAGACATGTGTTACGCATGCACAACTAGCTGTCACCCTCCTCGACAATGGGCAATATGATGGAGAAGACTTGTAGCTCAGGTGAATGGTTTTGATGTGGTTGTGTTTTCTGTGCTGGATAGTTAATTTGCTAAGCTTTCATTGCATTAGTAAGCAACATCTTCAGCGCATTATTATTATTCCCTTGGGTTCTTAGTGGAACATAGGGCTTCAACTGAACGTCTCCATTTGCCACTTCTGTCTTCCTTCTGCTGTACTTTTCACCTCCATCCATGTTAGTCCATACTCTTTCAACTCCTCTTCACACGATCTCCTCCTCCATGTCACCCTTGCACTGATGTCCCACTCGCCGCTTCCATTTCGGCCTGGCTCAACTCGAGCAATAGCCTGACGCTCTCGCGATGTCACCCAGAGGCGGCCTCCTCAACCGTCCATCTCCACTTTCTCCTGCATATTTATTGGGCGATTGGTTTGTTCTTGTTTTGTTTGTTCCCATAGTTTCTTGTTGGTGATTCTTTCCGGCCCGGCCATCTGATCTTCAGTATAGATCCAGCGAAGACAGTTAGTTGTTGATAAAGGTAACGTCTGCAACAGGCTGTTGGAAATATTCTTTGTGACCCGCCCGCCAAGTATCTGATACGTATAGAAGAATTGAATGACTTGACGTTGTTTGTATTGAAAATCCGAATTTTGTTGTTGATGCTGAGTGACGAAGATTTGTGTTCCAGATTGGTTTCAGGTTGATGATGATAATGTGTTTCTCGCCCCCTCCCGATTCGTGCTCGATTTTACATCCTCGTCCGTTCCGATTGCGTGTAATTGAGACAATGCTCCCTAGATAAGTGAGTGAACAAAGTGACCTCTTTCAAATCCCTCCCGTTGATGGGGATTGACTCTGGATGTTGCTGCTGCTGTTGTTGTTGGTTGGTTATTTGCATAACCTCCGTCTTGTCTATGTTCACTTGGAGTACTGTCTTTGCCAGCTGCTTCTTCGACCAGTTCATCGGTCGGTTTTCGCTTGTTAGTCTTCCATTTTGTGTGACATCAAACACAAATCATCCACGCGCGAAACCCAGGTCTTTTAGGTTCTTCACGTCGGTCGGTCCAGGATATCACTGTCCCGTTTCTCGTTTCCCGGTGTCTGACGCATAATCCAGTCAGTCCACCGCAATTGGGAATATCATTGGTGATAATAAGCCAGCACCCTTGTCTGACTCCTGTGTTTGCTCCAAACGCCTCGCTGAGTTTTCCGTTGTGGATCACTTGACATGTTCCGTTTGTGTACAGCTGCTGAATAAGGTTGATGAATATATGGGGTACGCCAAATCGCTACGGAAACTTCTTCAGCGCATACTTCAATTTGATGAAGTGAACGTTTAGATTTTTCCACGAGTTTATTAATCATCTCTCCTGGTGACAACGTTGAACGTGATTGGTTGCTTTTGTGTGTTTTTACACCCTCTAGCTTACTTGTATTGGAACTGATTGTTTCTTTGACTTGAACACTTTGACCCTTTGTGTGTGAGGGTTCCTTCTTATCGCTTGGTAAATTTTGTCTGTCTCAGTGTGTCTATTGATTGATGACTCACTGGAATACCGGGCGGGCTTCTAAAAATTCTCTAGCATTCATGGTGTTTCCTGTGTCTAATATGTGAACGGTGGTTGTCCCTGTCGAATTGATAGCAATGGGCAATGTTAGCTGGCTGGTATAGGATTGATCAGGTTGAAAAAGAGAAAGCTAGTGGTAGTCAAACCCAATACATTGCTTCATCGGTCAAAAAAATCAGTTCAAGTTGCCCCCGCTCTCCCCCATATATCACTCAAAGGGACGCAAATGAGGAGGAAAACGGCATTCAAAACTACCGCATTAAGCAAAAGCTTAAGAGAGAGAGAGAGAGAAAAAACATAACAGTATACTGCATATAAGAGAGACCACATAAGGAGAGTGATTTTTCATATCGCCAATAATCTGCAGTCATTGATTCTTAGTGTGGCGTGTGCTACTGATAAAATTTATCAGTAGTATATAATATAAACATATTAGAATCACAATTTGCACATATTTTCCTCATTGGGATTCTCTTCGCTTTCCTTACATGTTTTCCATGTTGTGTTTCACACGCGTAGTTCATTAAATCCATTTCTGTATTTTTACATAATTTATATCGGTATGTATATACTACTTGTAAATATTGTCAGTAGCACAAGATACATTCATACTTACCAATATGACTCAAACTGACTATCATAGACTGCATGAACTGGTGTCAGGTTTTTTTCTTTGATCACCCCAAACTATTTTTCGACCGAATTCTCTGTGGATTAACATTGCACATGGAGGAAAGCGATTGCTCGGGAAGCGTGAAACACTTATCCCAGTCATGTCGCGACGGATGAAATTTTCATCAGTATCATGAAAGCTAGGGTAGCATATGTCAACTTGAACCACCTCTGGTGCCGTCGCAACGTTAGTCTGGCTGTCAGAGGTAGGGTATACAATGCTTCTCTCTTGAAAGTAGGCTTTGACGAGGCATTGACGAAGCGTTCACCTCTTCCATAGGATTGAGGTTGATGACATATACGACATTTAGGAGGGAAAACTCGTCTGTCACTCAGCTTCAGAGTCGAAGATATTCGACTAGACTTGCGGCAACTAAACTTTGCCCGGAAGACTGGAGGATGCTTTTGACACGAGTTTTGTACAAGAGGTGTATTTGAAGCATAACTTGAAATGATATCAATTGATGAAGGTGACATGTTAAAGCATACCGAATTTAGTGGAACATTTGAGAGATTGAGCTTTTCTAACCAGTCAAAATTGAGTAAATTCAAATCATGGTGCTTTGGGAAATAACATACACCATTTAGTTGATCCTCACCAAACTGAACATGACAACCGATCTCACCCTTGAGTTGTAGCTCATCTCCAGAAGCATTCTTAGCGGCATGCTCCGTCTGCATAATCTGTGGGCACTCGAGTTTACGCCACGTGGTTCAGGAAATTATTATTTTAAATTTTTGTTTGTTTTTGATTACAGCTTGATTCCACACCGTATTTTTGGTACAAGTATGGAATTTTCAGCATATGATATTGGTAGCCCGATTTTGCAGGCCAACCACTGATATCACGTGTGCGTCGGCAGGAGATCAAACCTCGGACCATGTGCATGGTCGGCGAGAGTCCTAACCACTGTGCCGCCGACATATCTGATGCCGTATCCAACTTAACACACGAATAGGTTTACTGTTAATAGATAGCGTAATGTACTTGCATTTGTTCGCTGGCGAAATCGGCTTTGGAAGTTATGGAAATAGTCTGTACCCTAGGAGATTGTTTCTGCTTGAAAGGACTACATCTGTTCCTCACCGAAAAGTTTTTCTGTAGTGGACAGTAACCCTCTTTACGTCCAAAACGGTGACACTTGTGGCATTTATGTTTCTTGAAAGGACAAAAAAATTGACAAAATGCCATGAAGCATAGTGCCACCAGCACACTGACGGAGGTTTAGCTGAATTTTGAGACTGACGTGCTGTGTGCTTATTGGTGATCGGAGGAGTTTTCACTGTGTTATAATTGAACTAAACTCGCACGACTGTGGTTTCCACTCCACCATACAGTAGTGTTGTGTTTCAAGTTGATTAAGCGTTGGCATTCTGCTATCGCCAGTTTTAAAGTCATTTTTTCGGTCTTGTTCTACGAATGATAGAAGTCGAGTGTTCTTATGTCAGCATCTTTTGAGTTCTTTAAATCACACTGATCTGGTGTCATTTCGTGTGGCTTAAACCTTTCACGCTCCTTGTTCACCATACAGCGCTGCTAAATGCTACAAAACTTTATGAATATTTAAAGTGTAAATCGAACGAAGTATTGTGTTAGGTCATAAGACCTGCATTCTATCTCCCCTTTGCGAAGTGGTATAATAAGGTGAGCAATATTGAGGTTAAGCGTCGGTCGAGGGCTAGTTGGTAAGCAGGGGAAATGAATAGACGAGGCTGTGAAGTTACACCGATTGAGATGGTTTTAGGACATGTGTTACGTATGTCTAGCCATCAATCGCCTTCCTCGACAATGGGCAATGTAAGCTGATATAGGGTTAGGCTGGAAAAAAGCTAGAGGCGGTCAAACCAAAACATGACACCAGTCAATGAAATCTACAACAGTTAGTCTAAGCCAGCCACGTAGGCAGGTGCAGATTCCTGACTGGTTTGGGTCTTCGGGACGGTAAACACTAGTGGCTGGAGACAATTGGCGACAATATGGCTCAAAATCGTTCTCGATGGCTAACGCAGATGCATCCACTCCTTGTGACGTATGATTTCTAATGAAACTATATTGATCTTCGTTACTACTATTCCTTTGTCTCATACCTCTGTTTACTCTCTCTATTATGCATTTCTTCTACTTTCTTCTTCTCTGGCTTTGTGTGCTACATAGAGGGAGAGTGGGGACTTGAACTGGTGCACATCGGCGCAAAGTTCTTTGTCGAAAAAAGACACACAGATAGTCAGGGCATACAGTTCAGCTGTACAGGAAGTTTAAAATTAAATGTTGAGCATAACCTCATGGAATGCTCTATAACTGTGGGACACTGTAAATTTTTTCACGAGTCAAGTAAGTAATCTTTTTAGAATTGTGGGGAACATGGACCGCAGAGAATGCGATAATACGATCTTGTAACTGACGAGACTTCATGATAACCAATAAATTAGCCTTGAAACCAATGAAATCCTCCAAATGTTAGTTGAAATGCATGACTTTGACATCCTACTATATTTTTACACAACTTTTAATTGTACTTTCACTTACGTTTTCATTTTCTCCCTTTCTGTGTGTGTGTCTCTCTCTCATGTTTCAGATCCGATGCAAATATGATGGGATTTGTTAATTTCTATTATTCTGGTCCTGGTAAATCTCTTGGTCCACCAGGTGCTGGTATGCTGCCTGGTGGTGGTATTCCTCCAGGTGGTGGTGGTGGTTTTTTCTCAACAACTACCAATTTTTATGCAAATCTTCCACCACAAGCACATTTTATGTTTAGTCCACTACAGAACACAGCCTATCCTCATCCATCCTCCTCGATTATCCTACCGCATATGTCCTGTCAGGCGGCGGGCAGTGATCCGACTACTTTGTCATTACCACCGATGACAGCCACAACAACAGCAACATCTCTTCAATTTCCTTTTTCACCAGCATCTTTCTATTGGAATCCCGGTAGTAGTGGAGGTGGCATACCGTCTTCAATGTATCCTGATGATGGTTCTGCTGTTTCAGTGTTGAATAATGTTGTGAATCCTAATTTTATGTACAGCAGTACTACTCCCGGTGAATTGCTCCAACAACAGCAGCAGCAACAATCACAGTTACAGTTGACTCAAGGAAATCGTAAATTAAACGAATCTTCTGGTTTGAGTCCGTATTTAGATGTGAGTTATTGATTTAAAAATATTTCCATTAATTAATTAATTTGATTGGATATTCTATGAGTCAAGTAGTTTGTGATTTGATCATCATGCCACTAGGAGGTAGTTCTTCATCATGACTCACTCGAAATTATTGTTATTAAATGGCTGTAGGGAATCGGTAGGACGTCTTAGAGTAGTCAGCGTGGTGTATCTCCAGTCTTGTGGGAATTTGTGTCCATTGAAAGTATTTAAACCAATCTAGTCAGTCTCACAGGGGGTGGCCAATCGTGAGCCCGAATAGCTCAGCAGTGGTGACGTTTCTGACCGCTAGACAGCATTAGGCGGTGACACGGATTCGAATCTCAAAGCGGGGGATCATAAGCCCCTTCAAGGACATAGAGACGTCATGCTGACTGGTGAGTGAGCGGCAAGTAAATAGCCCGAAACCTAGGTCCGGCAGGGCTTCCTGTGGTTGATTGTGCCTCCAACCATCTAATAAGAACATTATGCCTATTGTGGTAATTATAGAAGACGATTTAAGCAAGCAAAAGCGTGTTTTCAGTAAGTTGTCATCAGGCTCGACTTTCTCTGGTTCTATTAATTTGAAGGATGGTGACTAGCAGTAGAATCCAGGCAGGGAAATGCGTATTTCGTCGTATTTGGGCCTCGACATATGGATGTACATGAATTGCTAGTGAATGGTGGAGTTGCCACTGAGACACAAACCCGGTACCCCCCATTTCGAACGCCAAAGCGTTATCTACTCTAAACCACTTGAGCCCCCGAGCACCTCTTCCCACTCACCAAGAATCTGTTATTAATTGTGTCGTTTTAATTCAATTTCGATTTTCCGGTGACTCTAAACCATGGCAACCCAAAATGAAACTACCTAATTGTACGGATTAATGAGTTTGCGCAAACAGTCAGATGAGTCTGTAGTGTGTGGGCGGAATTGTGGATGTTGTACACGAGGTACGTGGCAAATTTTCATCGAAATCCAGTATTTAAGTACTGCATAGACCACAGGCTAGCTCACTGGAATGGAGGAAAGGTGTCCACTGAAAGTTCCTGGAGTTACGTCTAAAAGAGAGGATCTCAGAGTGGTGAATAGGTCATGAAACACAATGATTTGTAGTTATCTTGACGAATTTATGTATAGAAATTGGTTTAATTTAAGGTTTTCTTGGAATAAATACAAGACCGTCATCCTTTTTAAAACTGCATCTCAAATTACGCACTTTTACTTCAGGCTCATCTGATCGGTCGATAGAGATTTGTCAAGATCTTATTTAGGTAGTTTCGTTTCGCGCTGCCATAGTTTAGCGTAACCGATTTTCGCGTTAATTGATTGAATCGAAATGTTCGACCTGTGTTGGCATGTGTCTGCTTCTAGTGCGGACGCTTCAACGATGTTGACTGGCAGTGAAATCGAGGATGATGTGCATTTCCATTCACGAAATTATTTTAAGTTAATCTTCAGACATCGTTGAAGGCCCTCCGTCCCAAGGGGCCGACAGGTAGGTCAACGGTGGCCCCAGCATTTTGGTTCTGTCAATAATTAATGGAGAAATCACACTTAAACTCTCGTTTTGCTGATGATACATGGATATGATACCTTTTTTCTATCTTGTATAAGAATAAAATCGATACTGAGGTCCTTCTCACAAAATTTTCAATATGGCTCATTCACGAATTTTTCACATGTTGAAACAGAACAAGGACAATACGTTAATCATTTCTTGACGTCCTACTAAAAAGAAGGCAGGGTAGAAGTATCAGGTGGAGGCGGGTAGACACAATTTCGGGAATAAATTGTGTGTTAGCCAATGCACTCATTTCAGAAAAATCTACACAAGTAAAACTCTTGACGAATGAAATAAGGAAAATGGTAGATCGCTGCAAATCACAGAAATCACTGCAAGACTCTTCAGACCTTTAGGAATTGACGTCGCACACACACAAACCAATAAAATCACTTCACTCAGTTCTATGTCAACCAAAAGACTCAACAACGAAAGAAGATAAAGCCAACATCATCATCTACAAAATAAATTGTAGCAACTGAGAAAAACACTACATTGGCCAAAGTGGATGTCCCCTTCGTCTTTGTATCCACGATCATAAGCTAGCCGTCAAAAGACATGATGTCTACTCTCTCATATCACCACGTACAGACAACCACGGACATCGGTTCGACTGGGACAACCAACGTTCAAATATTAGACAGAGGAAACAACAAGAATGCTAGAGAATATTTAGAAGCCCGCCCGGTATTCCAGTGAATCATCAATCAATAGACACATCGAGATAGACAAAATTTATCAACCGATGAGAAAGAAACTTCACACACAAAGGGTCAAAGTGTTCAAGTCAAAGAAACAATCAGTCCCAATACAAGTAACCCAGAGGGTTTGAAAACACACAAAAGCAACCAATCACGTTCAACGTTGTCACCAGGAGAGATGACTGATGGCGAACTCGTGGAGAAATTCAAAAGCTCATTTCAAATTGAAGTATGCGCTGAAGATGTTGTCTGCCTAGTAGGGCGATGAAAGCTTCACAAATTAAACTATCCAGCGAGCTCAGAGAACACAACCACATCAAAATCATCCATTTGAGCTACAGATGTTCTCCATCATATCTAAAATGGTAAACTTAATTATATCAGAATAGATATCCTGAAAAATTTATTAAAGTCTTCGTAATGATAACAGATTTAGAAAAGTGCTTGCAAACTGTGCAGAAGGTATATATATCAGTATACCGTTGAAAGGAGCCATCTACTGAATTACTGACATCGAAACTCCTGAAAATAATGGCTACAACATGTGCATTAAATGCACCTGTCGTTGCGTAATATCCAAAGAAGGTGAAGAATAACCTATCGAGTCATGCCACTTTCAATGTACGTTCATGTGGAGGAGATGCGTACATAGGCGAAATAGACTACTAGCCTTCTTGAGCATTGTTCAAACTGATTAGGGAAGGAAGTCATATAAAGTCAATCTGAAGTTCTATATTGGCATACACACACACACCTTATGGGGGGCTACAGAGCACAAGACTGATAAGAAAAATTCATCCCTAACAATTCCATACAAGCTGCCACCTCAATTTCTTATGATTGTGTACGCCTTTCGTTGCTAAGCATATCTGATGACTACCTAGATAATATACAAACACTTCATATGTGAGGTGTATGTCGGTGATTCCACGGTAGAATGCTCGTCAACCATCCAAATGATCCAGGATTCGATCCCTGGCCGGTGCCAAACCTCCCCTACAAAGAGGGAAAGGTTGGGTGTGTGTGTGGGGGGGGTGGCGATTCCATCCCGCAAAAACATCACTGCTACTGAAGCTTGTTGAAACCCTATTCCATATTCCACTCCAAGAGCTTTTTTATATCAGTGTTTCAGATTTCGTCAGCTGATGAAGTAGTCAGTGGTCAACACACCTAACAATTATACTTTTTATCACTAAACTAGGAGTCAGTGGAGTCCCCAGTCGAGTCCAAACTAATCCAGTTGTTCCATATTAGTATGTTTATTAGATGTATCACACACAGTGAGTGAAACAGTATTATTATTTACTGGATGACACAGTTTCGAACAAAATTTATTGCTGTGCATAATCATTTCATCAATTATAACCACACGACTTCGAAACTTGAGTTTTATAGTTTTTTATTTGTCCTCTCCTATTTGTTGTCGTAGGCGTGGTAGTAGAATTTTCCAGATATCTGGCTGGACAGGTGTTAAATGATTCCTATTACATGTATTTGCAATTTATCTGATAAACAAAGCTTCTGTTATCAATCTCTCCCTTCCTCCACCCGGTTACATATGATTGTAAAACTGTCATGTTATTCCATCATCCGATATTGCATAGTTGTGTGTAACTGCATTTAGTGTCAGGGAAAATAGGATTGGCGAAATGTTCAGGTAACAGCACAACAACTAAATAGTACCGTGGAAAATCTTAAACAGGCAGTGGTACACATAAAAAGAAGCCTTGAAACTTAATAATTCCCCTGATAAATTAGTCAGGAAATATGTAAGGAAATGTAAATATAAAATAAATAATGATAGTAGCGATAGTGATAATAATAATATTAATGACGACACCAACAATAAGGAATCTAAATCATCAGTAGTAATTCCATACTAGGAAGGAACCTCGGAAACCTTACGGCGGAGAATTCTTAACAAGGCAGGCAGGAATAAAAGTGACTGGCATTCAAACCACTAACAAACTCAATTAGAAACAAGCTTTGTCGGTTAAAAGATCATTCCTGTGGAGCCTTTAAAACAAAACAATTTAGTTTATCTAATATCCTGTCTGCAATGATTGCCAGGTCAAATACCATAGGTCAAACTAGTAGAACAGGAGCAGTCAGTCAGACTAGCCGAACATAAAAACCTAGCTAAATCTAGATTGGTGTTGACCCGAATAAGATAAGAAATCTGGAGAATAGTTCAACTGTATAACTCACTACATGCAGTTACACACAACCATACAATAGGATGAATGGGATAGGATGACGGTTTTAAAATCTAATGTAACAGGGTTAATGCAGGGAGAGATAGGTAACAGATATCTTTGTTTATCGAATCAACTGAAGAGTGTACGTGTAACAGGAATGATTCAACACCTGTCCAGCCAGATATCTGGAAAATTCTACTACCACGCCTACGACGACAAATAGGAGAGGACAAATAAAAAAACTATAAAACTCAAGTTTCGAAGTCGTGTGGTTATAATTGATGAAATGATTATGAACAATAAATTGTGTCATTCAGTAAATAATAATACTGTTTCACTCACTGTGTGTGATACATCTAATAAACAAACTAATATGGAATTTTCAAGTATTGGTTTTGTAGGGATTTTGTTTCATTGCATGGAGGATTTAATCATGAGCTGACATCAGTTAGAGAACCACTGGAAAACCTGGGAGTACTGGACAGCTGTTTCGTCCTAGTTTGGGACTCTTCATCAGTACGCACCCACCGGGATTCGAACCCAGGACCTGGTTACAAGGCGAGCTCGTAGACCATTGAGCCACTGGGACCCGATCCAATGGTCCTTGAATTCTAACTTCTGCCAATTCACGACATAGCGCGTTCACTTCGCAATGTCTTCTTCGATGAGTTACCGCCTCATCTTCAACCTGCTGTACCCTACTGGTCACGGCTTCCCACCAGAACCCCAGGTTAACTGCCTGAATAGGGCCAGTCACTTGTAACCACCTTGTAACCAGAAGGTCGTGGGTTCGAATCCTGGTGGGTGCGTACTGCTGAAGAGTCCCAAACTAGGACGAAACAGCTGTCCAGTACTCCCAGGTTTTCCAGTGGTTCTCTAACTGATGCCAGCTCATGATTAAATCCTCCATAATATGGAATTACTTACTACCACAGTGCCCAGGTTTTACACATATATATTAACAATCCAGTTGTCTTTGTAAATTTTTTTACTCATCTCGTTTTTATCAGATTTCGTTTACTTCTTTTCGACTCTTTTTTTTAGCATCAAATAGAAGTAACCAAACTAGATGACTTGTTTAACGTGTTTCTACCTGTTGTTGTTTTTCTCAATGTTGATTTATTTCTATATATTTGCTGTCTTTTTTTTGCATTTTACAATCTCTCTTTCGCTATCTCTCCCACTCACACACTCGTTCTCTCTGTTATCACAGTTAACATCAGAAATTGGTGCCAAAGAATACATGCGTGGTTTACTGGCGCGTAAATGGGTTATGGAGTCATATAAGAAGAAAAGTACGTACACAAATTTTTTTGCTTGTATATTTAATCACATGGGTGGTGTGCTGATTGTGAGTAACACTGATTCTCTCGGTTCGTTGTGTTCGTGTGCGTGTGTGTGTGTGTGTGTTCATACTATATGCATACTGTTGGATAAAAATGATTATTTTTGTTTTACAGGTTCAATCATGACTTAATTATCAGTTAGAGGGGAGAATCAGCAGGGGACTCTTCGGCAGTGCGTACGTATCTGCTACTGGGATTCGAACCGAAGGCCTTCCGGGTTACAAGGAAAGTTCGTACACTATACAGCCCCCTTGGAGTTGATCCAACAACCAGGTCATGAATTCCAGCCTCTGTTACTAGTTGTCATTACTAGCTATGATGACATGCATAAGAGAGAACATAAGGCATCTACAGTAGTTTTTGCTATATAACGAGGGGGGCATATGAGACCCTCCCAACGTAGGATTCTTAATAAAGCGGGAATTAGGGTGAACCTACAAACTCACTCAGGTGGGGGACAAGCTCTTTCGGTTAAAGGACCCAGTTGACCCAATTAGACAAAATAATATAATTTACAAAATACCCTGCTATGACTGTGAGTGAGGTCAACTATGCAGGTCGAAACAGGAGATCGGGAGTAGTCAGATTGCCTGTCAGAACATAAGAATTTAGCTATGGTTAGAAGGATTTATCCCACGAAGATAAGTAATTTAGAAAAAAAGCTCAGTAATTGCACTCCATGCACAAACACCCAAGCACACAATGGGGGCGAATTGGACAGAGTCAATATTCTCAGAAGTCATATAGGTAGGTGGAGAACCAGAGAGAGAGAGATTGATTACTGATTCCTGACTGGTTCATCGAGTCTACACCCAACACAACACATGCAACAGAAATGACTCAATGCAAATACCAGAGATATGCATGGAAGATATTATCACCACCAGTTAGTCAAATCAGAGGAGGATAATAAATAATCTGAAAATTCTATTTCAATTCAATTCACGTACAGTATCACATTCTAACAAGTTATTTATTTATTTTGACTATAAAAACACTCGTCTTATTTCCTATTTCATCAACTTTTACTCATGTATATAAATGAACTAAGCAAAGTTGTGTGAGTGAGCAGCGCTTCATATGGTTATGAGTGGCAATAGTTTGTGCTCGTAACGTGGGGTCGCATTAGTTAACTGTATAACACACTGTATGACAATTTGTCAAAATAAAGTCTTATCCATAATGGGGTTGTAGTGTGTGATAGGATAGGTTAGTAAGAATTTACTGATTCTCTTCTGGTCTGATCTCAGATTTTTATAGAGTAGTGGTGCTTTAGATTATTGGAGACAATCGACCATAGGAAGCCTTAACTCTCTAGAATTAGGAATTGTGCATATCGGTACACACCAGTCAGTAAGGTGTATCTACCATCTTTGAGATTCGAATCGTATATATATATATATATATATATATATATATATATATATGAATGCCACTACAAACCTATTCGGACTCACGATTGACCTCTTCTTTGATTGGTCGCTATCGTGTGTGAGTAGTCCTCGACACTGGTGCTGTTACTCAAGTTTGCAGTGTCGTCGTCAGGTCACCATCGGTGTATTGATTAGATAATCGGTAGCAGTCATTAGCACTTAACCCTAAGTGACTTCAGCGATTCAGGGATGGACTTGCTACCTGGGAATAATCTCGTTGACTTGGAATATGCAGACGATATAGTCCTTCTAGGCGAAGACGCTGACAAAATGCAGAGTCTTCTAAACACCTTGAGCCGCAATCTACGAATGTTTGGCATGCGATTCGCTCCCGCCAAATGCAAGATGATGTTACAGGACTGGACTACATCGACGCCTAGTTTAAAAATAGGAAGTGAAGTGGTAGAGCACGTTGACCGCTTCACTTATTTGGGAAGTACCATCAGCCCCAACGGGCTGATCTCTGACGAAATCTCAGCACGAATACAAGGGGCTCGTTTCGCATTTGTTAGTTTACGCCGACTCTGGCGTAGACGAGATGTTCGACTATCGACCAAAGGGCGGGTGTACTGCTCATCAGTCCGCTCCGTCCTCCTTTATGGCAGGTTGTGAGACCTGGCCACTGAGAGTGGAAGACATGAAAAGACTAGCTGTGTTTGATCATAGGTGCCTGCGCTCTATTTCCCGTGTAAAGTGGCATAATAAGGTGAGCAACATGGAGGTTAGGCGTAGAGTTCTAGGTAAACAGGGAAATCAATCGACGAAGTCGTGAAGCTACATCGACTGAGATGGTTAGGACATGTGTTACGTATGCCAAGCCATCGCCTCCCTCGACGAGCTATGTTAGCGGATATAGGGTCAGGCTGGAAAAAAGCTAGCGGCGGTCAAACAAAAACTTGGCATCAGTCAATGAAATCCACAACAGTTGGTCTTAGCCAGGTAGGAAGGTGTAGACTTCCAGGCTGGGGTCCTCGGGACGGTAAAAATCTATGGTTGGAAACAATTGGTGACATGGCTCAAAATCGTTCTCAGTGGCGCAGATGCATCCACTCCCTGTGACTTATGATCTTCAATGAAATTGTTTTGTATTTCTTTATTACTCCTTTGTCTCACACCTCTGCTCACTGTTTCTATTATGCTTTTCTTGTACTTTCTTCTCTTGCTTCGCGTGCTACACGGAATGTGGCGACTTGAACTTCCGCACATTTGTGCAAAGTTCTATGTCGAAAACAGACAGACAGACAGCACGAAATCTAGACCAGGGCGTTTTGCTGATTGCACTAAATGATACGGATTTGAATCGTGGAGTTGGCAAATACACATCGCTATGAAGAGTGCCGGGATGCACGAATTCAACGTGTACCGAGGTCTTCCTACCATTAGCCGTAGGTTTAAGGCGAAGATTGGTGGATATAGCTCACCAGTTGTCAAACCACCCTCCAGCCTTTCAAAGCCATGAAGGAGCTACGGGAAATCCCTAATGTAACGATTAAGAAACCGGACAAAGGTTCTGGAGTTGTCGTCACGATTGATCGATACATCATGTTTATTTGGCGACCGTTGAAAACCAGGCAAGGAGTACTGGGCGGCTGTTTTGTTTTTGTTTATGACTGTTAAGCAGTACGCACCCATGACTCCACTGAAAAGAGTCCTAAAGATGGACAGAACAAGGTGCCCAGTACTCATTGACTGGTTTTCAATGGCTCTCTAACTGCTGTATCAGTTCGTGATCAATCAAATCCCTGCTGACAAGCTGTACACTCGAAAATTAACCCAATACTCAATAACGGGGTATTACAGGATGAAGTTTCCCCATGGTAGAGTTCTACTGGGAATTGTTGACCCCAGCATGGTCATCCAAGTTGAGTGATTGAAGGGACAGATACTCGCTAATGTGACATTAGATGGCGGTAGCCAATTATCAAAAGTTAGAATGGACAAGCTATCGGATTCCGACTCTTCCATTGGCTGAATGGTTTATGAGAACCTGCCTTGTAACCTCAAGGTTTTAGTTTCAATCGCCAGTGATTGGATCATTCGATACGCGCTGCTAAAGAGTCCCAAATGAAGACAAAACAGACTTCCAGTAATCCCTGCTGACTTTTAAGCATTCTTTAGTCGAAATATCATTTGATCTGACTGACTGAGTTTCGGTATAGGGCTTTGTACAAAAGTGCCTCTGTGTCAACCATTGAGAACGACTCTCAACCAGCTAAATCACCAATTGTCTCCAGCATCCTTTGGTTCTTACCCTCCCGATGACCCCAACCAGCCAATCAGATTGTCTTTACTTTCCTACGTGGCTGGTTGGCTTAAACTAACTGTTATGGATTTCATTGACTGATGAAGCCATATTTTGGTATGACCACCATAACCTAACTCCTTCCCAACCTGATCCTGTGTTGGCAGGTAACATTGTCCATTGTCGATGAAAGCGATCGATGGCTAGGGCATGCCATGCATAACATCTATCCTAACCATCTCAATTGATTTAAATGCTTCACAACCTTTTTATCCATCAGTCGACCAATGCCTAACCTCATTATTACTCATCGTACTATATACCACCTACCACCGGGGAAATAGGATGTGACCTACGTTGAACTCTCTTCTCATTGCATGAAATTCACTCGCTAAATACACTATTGTCATTGAGTTCTTTTTTTTTTACAAAATTCGTTTACGTTCCCAGTGGAACAGAGGGCGCCTTCACTCAAGCTAAAGGCTTAAAGTTTCTGTATCCGTGGGGTGATTATTTTTTCACAGGATGAAAGGTTGCTAGCCTCATCCTGGCCCAACCTTCCTTCTTTACCAGTCTTATAACTTGCTTAGCGCCGTGAAGGAGTGCGTCATTCCATTATGGGTAAATCTGTGTTTTTTTGAGAAAGTCTCACAGTGTGTTATACAGTAATGTTTACTGAGGACAACACGCTTCGAGAACAATTTATTTCCACTCATAATCATATCAAGGTACTCACTCACACGACTTCCTAACTTCATTTATATAGTTCCATTATTTTTCACTTGATTTGATTGGTAGTAGTATTTTCCATATTTCAGGTATGAGTGATGAATCATTCCTATTGCATGTGTTGGGTGTAAACTTGTAGATTGTAAAATAAAAGGAATGGCAGAAGGCAAGCTACACACTAGTGTGTACAGAAAACCAACTCATTCTAATAGATACTTAGACTTTAATTCATCTCATCCGTTAACTGTCTGTTAAGGCAGGCTTAGTTAAGTGTTTAACAAACCGAGCAGTGCCACTAAATAGCACAAAAAAGACCTAAATGATGAAATAAAACAGAGAGAAGAGGCTTTGGTGTTAAATAACTATCCCTTAAAATTCATTAGGAGGATCGAAAAAGGCAAAAAGAAAAATAATTGTGAAATTAATAATAATGATAACATAAATAAGAGAGAATATAAGTCATCTACAGTTATACCATGCAAGGAAGGGTATCTGAGAACCTACGTAGGATTCTAAATTAAGCAGGAATTAAAGTGACATTTAAACCTACAAACTCACTCAGGTAGGACAAGCTCTGTAGACTAAAGGACTCAGTTGACCCAATTAGACAAAATAATATACTTTACTAAATACCTTGCAATGACTGTGAGTTACGTGAACTACAAAGGTCAAACTAGTAGGTCAGGATTAGTCAGATTGTCAGAACATAAAAATTTATGCTAAGGTAAGAATGGTTGACCCCGAGAAGATAAGTAATTTGGAAAGAAGCTCAGCAATTGCTCTACATGCATTGACGCACAATAGGGTGGGTGGGAGAGGATTAAAATTCTAAGAAGTAATCTAGGTAGGTGGAGAGAGAGAGGTTGATTACTGAATCCTTCTTCATCGAGTCTACACCAAACACATGCAATAGGAATGATTCATCACTCATACCTGAAATATGGAAAATACTACTGCCAATCAAATCAAGTGAAAAATAATGGAACTATATAAATGAAGTTAGGAAGTCGTGTGAGTGAGTACCTTGATATGATTATGAGTGGCAATAAATTGTGCTCGAAACATGGTCATCAGTAAACATTACTGTATAACACTGTGAAACTTTATCAAAACAAAATATACCCATAATGGAATTACACTCTGCCAAAGTGCACAAGTTTTATTCTTATATCGAAGGAGTGTTTCGGTGGCCGGGAATCGAACCCCGAACCACCTGCTACTATTCATCAAACGCATTGAAAATCACCTGTTGTATTTTTTTGTTTGTTTTAATCTCGTACAGCCTCTGTTGGTCGACGTAGTTGGAAGTTATATTATGCTCGTCTACGTGATCTTGTCTTGTATTTATATAAAAATGTCAATGTGGCTAATGCAGCTGCCCGTGCTGAAGAATTGCATCATCTGCACTATCAACAACAACAACAACACCTGCAACAACAAAATTATGTACAACAACTCCTGTTACACCAACAACACCAACAACAACAGCAGTTTATGATGCTTCAACAACACCAGCAACAACAACAACAGTACCATCTACAGAAATCGACTTCTATGAATCAAGAAGAAGCAGACGAAGATGGGGATGGAGAAGGAGGAGAGGATGATGAACATGTTGATGACGAGAATGCTGTTGGTCATCGTTGTGATGACAGTGTCGTTGGTGTTGGTGGCGAGAATGACAATCATCGTACTGCTATTATTGCTGATAATATTAACAAGAGTGATGAGAATATTCGTGGTGACGACCAGTCTTCTTCGCATGAAGGCAACGATACTACTCATTTGCCTATGAGTACCGATAAACAATCCATACAACAAACACTATCGATGGATGATGATCATCACAATGGTGGTACTGCTGCTATCGCTAATGAGGGTAAAGATGTTCCTCATGAAAGTCAATTCGAGTAAGTCCTACCCCTGCTACCCCTTGCCTTTTTTATTGGATGTTTTAGTTTTTAATAACAAAATTCTAACTATACACATATATATGTCCAAACCAATACTTGAATATCAATGAGATGCTCACTAGCGACTTGCCCTATTCAGGGCGGGTTTTAGTGGGAAGTCGTGACCAGTAGGGTGCAGCAGGTCGGGTGTGAGGACAAATACTCGCCACCGAAGACATTGTCTAGCGGTTGCGCTATATATCATGAATTGGCAGAAGTTAGAACTCATTTGATGATCGGGTCCCAATGGCTTAATGGTCTACGAGCCCGCTCGCTGGCCTTTTAACCAGAAGGTCCTGGCTTCGAACCCTGGTGGTGGGTGCGTACTGGTGAAGAGTCCCAAACTAGGACGAAACAGCTGTCCGGTACTCCCAGGTGGTTTTCCAATGGTTCTCTAACCGATGATGTCAGCTCATTATGAAATCCTGTAACCAATTTACTTTTAACAGTTTGAAAAAATTGGGCATTGGTATATGATATTCATTATAATAAAGGTTCGCTTTTGTTTTTCCCAGTGAATGAATGAAAAAGACAAAATGATATTCACGTTTTCACTGACGTTTCGCTATTTAATGCTCCTGCTAATAGCTTTATCAAAGTGGTATTATTTAACCAGAATTTACAAAATCTCTTCAGCTTATGTACAACAAATTAATTCATCGTTCATCAGCATGGGGGCATTTTTGCGGTGTTGTCAAGTTGGCCAATCGGTAAAGATAACAAAACCAGGTGTAGATGACTGTTGGATTTGATAAGTGTGTAAAATTATAAAAGCAGTGTGTCTGTTTACATAGTGAACTTGCTTATCACATTCGTGTTGATTTTGTCACTTCATGGGGGAGAGGTATTGTGTGTGTGTGTTGTAACCAGGTCAGATTCTGTTTTAGTCCATCATTCAGACGATTGGGATTCCACTTGATATGAGGTGCTTCTGATGATATTAAACGTTCTTTGGGATTTCTGAAGTTCTCCTGGATTATTTCAATATTGTTAAAATCACTTTTGTGGCCTAACTCTATAGCTTAGCGTGTAAACCTATGGCTGATGATTTTTCAAGTTTTTCTAGTTCAACTGGATTTCTCGGTGGTCGAATAGACGTGTCTCTATGGTGTTCATTTCTTCTAATTTCGATTTCTCTCTGTTGATGTCTGTCCGATGTATATCTCATCACATTCCAAGCAAGCATTTTATTTTATATACACAGTTCGATAGAGAATCTTTAGGGATTTGGTCTTTTATATGTGCAAGGTTGTTTCTAAGTGTGTGAGTCTGATGTTTTGAAGAAAACTCTGTTGTCGAGCTTATTGAGTATTCTTCTGATATCGTCTGACGTCTGTGCTATATACGGAATCACAACTCTTGAGGTCCATGTTTTCGGAATACGTTTTCGACCATACTTAATGTCTGTGTTGATTTTGTTGATGAAGTTCCTTGGGTAGTTGTTTTGCTTGAGAGTTTCAGTAATGTTTGATATTTCTTCTTCTTTTTCTTGCTCATCAGTTATCAGAGAGTGTACTCGTCTAAGAAGACTTGAAACAACTGATACCTTTGCGCTGATGGCGTGTGATGATCCTAAGTCTAAATATTTATTGGAGTGGCTTTTTTCTTCCTGAATATAGACATACTTAAATGTCCGTCTTCCCTCCTCTTAACTAGTCATCCAGTCTAGAAATGGCAGTTCACCAACGTCTGATTCTGCCTGCTTCCAAAGTAAACTGGATTCTTGGAGATAGGCAGTTTATTTTCTCCAGGAATGAACTGTGTAGATGTCGCTAGTTTTGGCACTATAAAAGTATCATTTACATATCTCAACCATATTTTAGGAGTAAGTATGCATGAGATAAGACGTTAACTTCGAATCTATTCTTGAAAAGGTCAGCGACTATTGGGGAGAGTGGGTGAACCCATATTATAATTATTTTATTATAATTGTTCCCTTGGGTTCTTAGTGGAACATAGAGCTTCAACTACACGTCTCAACTTGCCACTTCTGTCTTTTTCTGCTGTACTTTCCGCCCGCCATCCATGTTAGTCCATACTGTTTCAACTCCTCTTCACACGATCTCCTCCATGTCACCCTTGTACTGACGTCCCACTCGCCGCCGCTTCCCTTTCGGCCTGGTTCCACTCGAGCAATGGCCTGACGCGCGCGCGATGTCACCCAGCGGCCTCCTCAGCTAGTGAGCGTCCAATCCATCTGCACTTTCTCATGCATATTTGTTGGCTGGCGATTGGTGAACCTATAGCAACACCATTACTTGTCTGTCCTATATAAATAAATACCCTTTCAATGTAAAATAATTACTTTCTAGACAGAATTTCAAGCTCCTAATTATTTCGCTGGTGTCCAGTTGACGTGTTTTTGATAACGTTGTATCTGATTCTAGTAGACTGGAAATTATGTCAATTGACTCATTGTTGAGAAATATTAGGAGTGTGAATATTTTTGATGCGCCAGTTGTGAAAAATAATTGAAAACTAACTATTTCCGTCTAGTTTTGAAACTCTTCAGTAGACCAGTACACCCTCAGCAGGAGTCGAACCTAGCTGACTGACCATTTTTATTATTTTTTTCTCCTGCATTCCGAAGGGAACAAAGGGCTTCAGGCAGGCTGGAGCTTTGAAATTTCAATAGAAGTGGTGTTTTCTCACCAGGGAGTCGAACCCCCTGATCACCCCTGCATCGTCGGCCAACATTCTACCGCCGAACCACCGACTGACTGACTGATCGATTGGTTGAGTTTTCGACGTAGAGGTATAGTATAAACCGATGTCTGCAGGAGGAAGACCACTTACATGTGAATTCAGTGGATTTGGATTGGTTCCAGCTCTTCACTTGATCAACTGTGACTCTTTTCCAACAAAATCTTATATCATTTAATTCAAGTGTTGGTTTGTAGGGATTTGATTGGTTTCAGGATTTCATCATGAGCTGACATTAGTTAGAGAACCATTGGAAAACCCGGGAGTACTGGACAGCTGTTTCGTCCTAGTTTGGGACTCTTCAGCAGTACGCACCCACCGGGATTCGAACCCAATTCACGACATAGCGCGACCGCTAGCGAATGTTCGAATCCCGGTGGGTGCGTACTGATGAAGAGTCCCAAACTAGGACAAAACAGCTGTCCAGTACTCCCAGGTTTTCCAATGGTTCTCTAACTAATGTCAGCTCATGATGAAATCCTTATATCATTTCAATTCAATTTTAGATTTTTCCGTCGATTGATTGAACCGAATTGCTCTGTCTTAGGTTTAAATGTTGGCTCTTCCTTGTGCAGATGCTTCGACGATGATGTCTGGGTATGTAATCGGAAGTTAATCGGTGGATGGTGAATGCTAGCAGTGGTATCCAACCAGGATAACGGGCATTTCGTCCGATTTGGGACTCGTTAGGTTGAGATCTGAGACCGAGTATTTCGCTCAATAAACGAGGCTGTAAAGTTACATCGACTGAGATGATTAGAACATGTGTTACGTATGCATGCCTAGCCATCGATCGCCTTCCTCGACAGTGGTCAATGTTAGCTGATATTAAGGTCAGGCTGGAAAAGAGCTAGTTAGTGATGGCCAAACCAAATCATGGCACCAGTCAATGAAATCTACAACAGTTAGTCTAAGCCAGCCACGTAGGAAGGTGTAGACTTCCTGACTGGTTTGGGTCCTCGGGACGGTAAACACCAATGAAGGCTGGAGACAATTGGTGATATGGCTGAAAATCCTCGTTCTCAATGCATAGCGCAGATGCATCCACTCCTTGTGACCTATAATACCCAATAAAACTATATTGTTCTTCGATATTACTATTCTTTTTGCCTCATATCGCTGTTTACTGTCTCTAGTTCGCATTTCTTTTTACCTTCTTCTCTTGCTTTGTGTGCTTAGTGAGGGGAGTGTGGCGACTCGAATTGCTGCACATCGGTGCAAAGCAGTTTTATGTTGGAACCAGTCAGTTAGAGCATTGAAATGAAATCAATATTAAAATTATTTAATTTCACTTCATCTCAGTTGAAATATGTTAGTTTAAAAATTATTACATTTCTTATTGTATTTTATCCCCAACATATTTCTTATCATTTCCAGTACAAGTCCATCGAAACAGTTGACTACTGTTTCCACAGATAATTCAAATAAGGCAATTGGTAATGAAACAAGTATAGAAACTACAACATCATCGATAGGACAAACGTATTCGTCAACGAATTCAACTCCTACTCCCGCTGCTGCTGCTGTGACTGCAACAACTGGTCCTGCTAACACAACTACTCTGACTGCTACTCAGCCTCCTCAACTTCAGCCGCATTCTTCTATACCAATGATGACTGCTACTACTACACCCTCGTTTGTACCGCCTCCAATTCCCCCACCAGAGACTATCATTCGTATCGCTCATGCTTATGCTTGTCGAGCTACAGATTATGTGAAAAAATCAAATGTATTCCGGCTAAGGACTAAAGAAGGCGCTGAATTCCTTTTTGAAGTGAAGTAAGTTTCATTTCCCATTTGGTTCCCTTGATATAAATTTCGATAAAGAAAGGAAGACGAAGTTTTGAAGTATAAAATGATATCATCGTCATTCTATTTCACAGGTTCTCATCAGCTGCTGCATACCACCACCTGAAATTACAATGAATATACAAATGATAATAACATACTTTAATACTTGAGTGGTAGGCAGTAGAGAAGAGATACTATAAAATTGACGCATCCAAAATGAAAGCAGCATTACAATTTATATAGTTCAAGATTTCATCATCAATTTATACTCTTTTTAAGTTGAAAAGAGGGGGGAGGGGTAAGACAGAAAACAGAAAAAAATTGACAAAACATTGTTAGTCTGTAGGCTCAGATAACAGCTCAAAAACCAAAAGCGGTTACAGTTTATAAGATGAAGATTTGTTCAGTGAGTTAGTTGAGATCATTGAATTAGATGGCCAATCAATATCAAAATTCAGTTACCAAGGGAGTAAGTGAGAGATTAATCACACTCTCTTTCTGTATGCATAAGTGTGGTTGGTTTGAATCGTTTGATTGCGATCGCTTCGGCAAATCGTAGTCACACCTTGCTGTCTTTTGTCTATTTAATATTTTGAAGGACTTGGAAATATCTACGAGATGTCCGGTATCAACAATATGTCTGGTAATTGCACTCTGAAAGAAAGCAAATATTCTCAGAGTGCAATTACCAGACATACTGTTGATACCGGACATCTCGTAGATATTTCCAAGTCCTTCAAAATATTAAATAGACAAAGGACAGCAAGGTGACTACGATTTGCCGAAGCGATCGCAATCAAACGATTCAAACCAACCACACTTATGCATACAGAAAGAGAGTGTGATTAATCTCTCACTTACTCCCTTGGTAACTGAATTTTGATTTTGATTAGCCATCTAATTCAATGATCTCAACTAACTCACTGAACAAATCTTAATCTTATAAACTGTAACCGCTTTTGTTTTTTGAGTTGCTATGTGAACCTACAAGCTAACACTGTTCTGTTAATCAATTTTTTCTGTTTTACCCCTTCCCCCTCTTTTCTACTTTGAAAGTGTATAAATTGTAATGCTGCTTTCATTTTGGATGCGTCAATTTTATAGTATCTCTTCTCTACTGCCTACCACTCAAGTATTAAAGTATGTTATTATCATTTGTATATTCATTGTAATTTCAGGTGGTGGTATGCAGCAGCTGATGAGAACCTGTGAAATAGAATGACGATGATATCATTTTATACTACAAAATTTTGTCTGCCTTTCTGTATCGAAGTAAGTTTAATTACCCATTGTCTGTTTGATAGTGTGGAAAATCTTTTGGCAGTGTTGAACAAATTTATATGACACTAATTCGTTTATAATGTGTATGACTGTTGATCTAAGTCTTGATTCACTCATACTGGCTTTGTCCTTGAATTACCAACCAGTGGTGAGGGAGACAGAGGACAGGAGCTTGAACCCCACCCCACGTACCATGAAGGTTTGTCTGCCCTGTCTTTATTATTATTACTTTAATACAGACTTGGTATATTGTGGACACCAGAAGATGTGAGAGATGAAATACTACCGGGATGCCCAAACCAAAGCTGGTAGTTCTCTTTAGGGGGGCATCCGCATCCCCGAACGTTTTACATGATTGAAGCTTGACTAATAAGGCGTCAGGCGATACGTTCCCAACGGTTCTCGGTGACCGAAACACGTGTATACACCAGTCGATTTAATTGGATTCTGGAGTCCGCGAGTAGACCACATAGGTTTGGAATCAAGGTTTTTGAGTTACCGTTCACCACTCCCTTAGATAGACCAGTATGTCCATCAGTCGAGTTGTATTGGTCCCTTCAATTTTGTGCCACGTGAAGACAGTGGACAAGACTCATTCATCCTGCAGAGATACGCTATGAGCGTGTGGCCACATGAGAGTGCATTCTGAGAGAAAACCGAAGTCCTCTCCCCCGTCCCCTTCAGCTGTACCAAGTAGGTCTCAGATAAATTGAATCTGAGCACACCAAGGTGTGACTCCCAACCAGGAAATTTTGTTGAATATATATAGAATTCATAAATAAATGCGTAAAATGTGTTAACCCCCCACACCCATACACACACACACACAAACTTGACTGATAGAATTTAGACAGCACCAGCTTAAACACAGAGTATTGCTTACCCACCCTACCACCCTAGTGGACTACTGCATTTGAACAAAGAAAGAAGAAACATTGGCGAAGAATAATCTGGATTCATTGTATTTCGTTGGTTATCATCAGCTGCGTACAGCCTGAATTCTTTAATAAAATAAAAAGTGTACGATTTTAACAAACCTTTGTCCATTAGCAAGCATATTGTCAGAGCGCCATTAGAGAATAATGCATTAGGATTTACAGGGTGTCTAAAGTGTTACGACATATATATATATCTTGATAGAGAGAAAGTTTCTTGAAAAAAAAATCTACTAACTGTTGTGTTGTTGGGGGTGGAAACAAAAGAAAATTAGCAATAGGTGTTTCGTCCTAGTTTGAGACTCTTCACCAGTACGCACCCACCGGGACTCGAACCCAGGACCTTCCGGTTACAAGGCGAGCTAGCTCGTGTACCATTAGGCCACTGGGACCCGATCCAATGGTCCTTGAATTCTAACTTCTGCCAATTCACGACATAGCGCGACCCACACCCGACCAGCTGCACCCTACTGGTCACGACTTCCCACCGGAACCCAGGTAACTACCTACCCGGCGGGTGCGTACTGCTGAAGAGTCCCAAACTAGGACGAAACAGCTGTCCGGTACTCTCAGGTTTTCCAATGGTTCTCTAACTAATGTCAGCTCATGATGAAATCCTGAAACCAATCAAATCCCTGCAAACCAACACTTGAATACCAATGAGATGCTCACTGGCGACTGGCCCTATTCAGGTAGGTAGTTACCTGGGTTCCGGTGGGAAGTCGTGACCAGTAGGGTGCAGCTGGTCGGGTGTGAGGACAAATACTCGCCACTGAAGACATTGGCTAGCGGTCGCTCTATGTCGTGAATTGGCAGAAGTTAGAATTCAAGGACCATTGGATCGGGTCCCAATGGCTTAATGGTCTACGAGCCCGCTCGCTGGCCTTTGAACCAGAAGGTCCTGGGTTCGAACCCTGGTGGTGGGTGGGTACTGCTGAATAGTCCCAAACTAGGACGAAACAGCTGTCCAGTACTCCCAGGTTTTCCAATGGTTCTCTTAATAATGTCAGCTCATGATGAAATCCTGAAACCAATCAAATCCCTGCAAACCAACACTTGAAAATTAGCAATAGTTACGTAATTAGGTAAGGGAAGATCAAAATTTTACAATTTTGATGTACATGAGGTCAGACGAGAAGTTGATGATGTAATACAGTGAGCAGAACTCAGAAGATCAAGAAAAATTATCTCTTAAGAGAGTCAAGCAAAAATAAAGGGGGGGAGTGGAGTGAAAAGATAAGCTAACAGAATTAACAAAGTTAGAAAATAAAGAGAGTTACTAAGAAGTGAGTCACCAGGGTAATTGAAGTCCAACAACGGATCCTTTTTGGACACATAAATCGGGCTTCAATCGTTTTATTGCTATAGCTACATGAAACCTGAGAAGAATTGAGGTACTTTGTCTGTTAATTATTTTGAATGATTCCAACACATCTACTCGGTGCTGTCCTGTGTCAATCAGGTGTTTGGCGGCTATTGAAGAGCTTAAACCATTCGATCCCTTTACCCGTGGGTTCCTTGTTACATGTTAGCAGAATCGGACGAAGGTCCTCCTCTCTGTTCTTCCAATGTAACTGCTCCCGCAGATACATGTGAACTGGTATACTAGTATATTTCCTATTTATAGCCCTTCAAGATGTCAATCGTCAATGGTGATGTTTTTGACTGCATCACTAGGTAGGTGGTGATTATCTGGGTCCTGATCTGAGAAGGTTTATCAATATCATTACTCTAAATCCTTCACCAGACAATAGATCTTACTGGATTCCGGTAATTTAAACAGAGTTCATAAGTTATTCCATCAAGTAGGACTCTAAAATCCATGTACGCTAAAAGGTTCAGAATCGCGTTTCTACCTCCTCTAAATGGAGAGGTAGACGTGAATGTCCACTATGTCTGGTTGTAAGCACCAGACAATCGCATTCACCCACTGCCTTCAGGGCGAAACATTCCCCCCTCCCGGTGAGTGTTAAGAGGAAATAAAGGTTTCTTTGGGAATTCATGGAACCAGTCAACCAAATACCCTGGCAGCGTGTCAATGAAGTCCTATATTCCATTCGGTATGTAAGGAATGAGTTATTACGTAATATTATGTAACAGCTGACGCTGGGCATGCATATCTCTCTACTCTAACCTCTTTCTTTGTCTTTTCTCTCTTACTCATTTCAGTGATGTAAAAGAAGTTGACCTATGGATTGATCGTATCAATTTTGTTGCAGCTCTTCTATCTGCACCATCTTTAGCTTCAGCGGTCAGTTCAGAGAAGAATTTTCATCGGCCTCATTTACCTGTCACATATACAAAATTGAATATGGTAAGTAGTAACTGTTGTTGGGAAAATGTCTTCACATTAATTTGTAGTGTGTGTGTGTGTATGTGAGTTAGCTTCTTTTTCCCTGTCTCCGTTTGATTATGAGCAGAACAACAAACATCAGGCGTCAGTTTTTAAACTTTTGAAGTTTAAGTAACTAACTGCTGTGGTTTCGCTAGCCTCATGTCTAACTTTCCTTATTTACTGACTTGTCTACCGGTTAAACAAGGTTTAAGATCACCTCGTCAGACAGTATTGAACCCTGGACTATGTACTGCACGCCATGTAGGAAACAAAGGTAGAGATACGAAAACAAAATTCAGAAGGAATCTATAGTTAGCAGAAGTGTGCGAAAGGAAGAAACATGAGAGTTTGGATGCTAGTTAAATCTCGGCAGCATTGAGAACGCTGATATCACCAAATAGTCTCAAGCCATTGGTTCGTAGCACTTCGATGCCCCGAAACGGGAAGTCCACACCTCCCCAACCTGGCTGGCTCACCGGCTTAAACTAACTGTTATGGATTTCATCGACTAATTTATTATTATTATTATTATTGTTTCCGTTAGTTGCTAGAGGAACATCGGGCTTCAGCCGGACTTTTCCATTGCGTTCGGTTCTCTGCCAACGTTTTCACCTGGCTCCATATTTGCCCACATGCTTTTTCATCTCCTCTTGGCATGACCTCCTCCATACCACCGTCGCACTGACGACCACCTCGCCGCTTCTCATTCGGATTCCACTCGAGTGATGGCCTGGTGTAGGATGTCACTTGATGGATTGTTTTTTCGGAGTATGGCCTATCTACCTCTTTTCTTCCTGCGTTGTTGTTGCACAACTGGTTCTTGCTGGGTTTGTTCGTTCATTGCCAGAGATCCTTTCCTGTTGCTGATCCTTTCTGGCTAGCCATCTGATCTTGAGTAGTATTGGGCGAAGACAGCTGTTGATGAAGGTCTTCAGTCTGTGTGAAGTGCCCTTCGTGACGCAACGCGGCGCCATTTCTCTGATCCGTATAGTAAGTAGCACTGCCTTCACATTGGAGTTGAAAATCCGGATCTTATTTTCATTTTCACCGTTGCTGTTGATCTCCACACAGACTTAAGAATAATGAAAACTTGTCTTTTTTTCCCGATCCTCGCTGCTTTGATATCCTCATCAGTACTGTCCGCCTGTAGTTGAAACGATGCTTCTCAGGTAGGTGGGTAGGTAGGTGAAGGAGGTTGCTTCTTTCACATTTCTCCCATCTATGCTGACTGTCGTCTTTTGTTGTTGGTGTTGGTGTTGGCCAGGAATCTTCATCACCTCCGCTTTCTCTATGTCCACCTGAAGTAAAGTCCTATCTTCGATGCTTCTTTCGCTAACTTGTTACATTTTTACTTGCATATCTCCCAGTTTATGGGAAATCAGGCAGATATCATCAGCGAAATTCTGATCATCCTTGCTGCCCGCCTCTGTCTGTAGCAACATCCAGTCTACCGCAATCAGGAAAATCACTTGAGATAGTAGGCAACCAGCCAGCCCTGTTTTACTCCCGTCTTCACTTCGAAGGATTCCATAGTTTCCCGTTGTGGATTATTTGGTATGCAACATTGTCGTACAACTGTTGGATGTGGGGTGTAATTGTTGGCGGCATCCCTTGGTAGTAGCGAAGTAGCTTCCGAAGCACCTTTCAATCGACACTGTCGAAGACCTTTTCAAATGTCGATGAATTTGAGTGAGGTAGAGAGAGCTGACTGCCATTCCAATCGCGTCACGATTCAGTCTCATCGATTGATGAAGCCATGTTTTGGTTTGACCCCACCACTAAATAGATGTTTTCCAACCCGATCCATCCTATGTCAGCTAACATTACTCATTGTCGACGAAGGTTGGCGGCTAATTGTGCATACCTAACCTCATCGACAGATTTTACCTCTTTACCTACCTCGACTGATGAGTCACCCCAACCAACATTACTCATCTTGGTATACCACTAAGCATAGGAGATAGAATGTTTTTGGAAGTGGTGCTCAGGAAGGCTTCGTCTGATTTTGGAAGTGTGTGGGCGGTTGTTATTTCCCGACTGCCCACACCACTGTGGAAATCAATTGTTTCTTCGGGTACCTGAAAACGAAAGAGGGTTAGTGTTGCGTGACCACAGAGCTCAGGAGACAACTGTTTGAGACCGGTCACATACGGCTTATATGAATTGGTTTCTTGGATTGATTCCGTATAAATAAACTTTCCGCCTGTTACGGACCACCGTAGGTGGGGTAAGTCGGGATGTACAATTTTTGGGGTCGACCTTTTCTAATCCCCTCCCTTCGGAGTGTAGAGACAGCATAGCTGGCTGGCATTCCGGTCATCTGAGTGAGGGAAACACCTTACTGCGGTTGTTACATCCCTGTTCCCCAGCACTACGAATTCGCCCACAGACCCCCAGCATAGTGGGAAAAGAAAAACTCTTATACTAAGCAGGTAACTGCTTTTAGTCTAATCGCTATCCTAACAATCTGCCTGGCATGGTAAGACCTGCAGAAACAATAGTTCCAGCCAGTGCAGCTAGTTGTGTCATTGCAATATGCAAGCCCCGAGACCAACACTTCCAGATAGTAGCTATCGGTCGGGGTAGATAGAATGCAGACACCTATGATCAACGCACGCAGAGTAACTTTGAGATGTAGAACTTCTTGAGGTCAACATTTTTTTTCTAACTCATCACCGCTTCAGAGAGAAGGGAGACAGTAGCAGACTGGGGGGGGGGTTAGCTTGTTGTACACCTGCTGTTATAGCCGTATTCGCTAACAATGCGACTTTGCTCTTAAACTTCGAACTTCTATCCAAAAGTAGCTCTACAGCATGATATGACGCATTAGGAAATACTTATTCCAACCAGTGTAGTTATTTTCTGTCATTGCGATATGCAAGCCCACCCATGACGTTATTGTAGCCGCCAGCTGTTGGTGTTCAGGACCATTAACGTATATGCCTTGTTAGTCATTTTGAAACTTTCGATTTTTTATCTCTCTCTCTATCCCTATCTCTCTTCTCTTTAATGAATAATTTTAGCGTGAACAACTTGAAGAGCACCAAAAACGTCTGTTAGAATTAGATCAAGAATTAACAGATTTACGATCACGTTTATCGGCTACCTCTGTGAGTAATAGTAGTAATAAAAGTCGTAAAATTTCATCAACGCAACAATCGTCTTTTGATGAAACCACTAAACGCCAACAGCAGCCGCAACAACTACAATCACAATCGTCTTTATCTAACGAAAATTCGACACCTTCAGAAGGAGTCACGACCTCCACCAACTCTACAACAACAACGACGCCAACAAATACCCTACCGAATGCTGTGTCGACAGCTTCTACACTGTCGAATACCACAACGACTACTAGTACAACGTCTACCTCAATAGAATCAACAAAATCTGATGATAACAATTCACCAACCTGTACACCTTCCTCATTTATGTCTGTCTTCTCGACAGGTAGTTTAGGCAGACGTAGAAAGGCGAGCAGTAGTTCATTGACCAGTTCATCCGATGGTAGTGGTAGTGGTGGTGGTCTTATCCTTAGTGCTAAACAACGTGCTGAATATGAAGAACGTATTCAATTCATGGAGTCGGAAGTAAGTTAATCTATGATTGTGGTAATTCCCTTTTATTATTTTGTCTTTTTATTACTTTGATTGATGATGACTCCTTACTGAGACTCGAACCGTGCACCCAAAAGTGAGATTTTTGAGTGCAAGGGACATAGAGCTTATCTTCATTTTGGCTTATTCTCTGCAGCACGGATCCAAAAAGCTCAAGCTGCTTTCGCTAACTTACGCCATCTCTTGTGTAGGCGTGACATCCGGCTATCAACCAAGGGACGTGTGTACTGCTCAGAAGTTCGCTCCGTCCTTCTTTATGGCTCTGAAACATGGCCAATACCAGTTGAAGACGTGAAAAGGTTGACTGTCTTTGAGCCTTTGTTTCTATGCTCATTTCTATACACCTGGAATTCGTTTTAACCCTGTATAATTTCTACGGCTATTGTAATCTATATTCGCACCTCCTAACTCTCATCTGAAGTTGAAAATTATCATATCAATTTTTGTTTCCATGCTCGCTCATTTTTAACACACTTGTGTAATTTTGTTTCTAAGCCTCTCTCCTCGTAAAAACCATATCTAGTTGAAAATAATTGTCACCTTCTATTCGCCTTCGTAATTATGTCGAATCAAACAAGAATTGTATCCATGGGAAATTATGTATTTAAATGCGATTGTACAGCTATTTTTTTAGAATGAAATCGCCGAAAAGATGACAGATATCTTTCGTGTTTAACAATAGCTTCTTCATTGGTTCTAGGTTCCCACAGTTCCTTGTGGGGCTACTCATGCCTTTCTAGCCATCTGATTTGCTGTATCAAACCAACAAAGACAGTTGACGAGGAAATTCTGCAGCCAGCCTGTTAGAAATGCTGCTGTTCGTCATGCATGCGTGCGCCAATTCTCTGAACCATATAGTTAAGCGAATTTCTATCCTGAATTCAAAGCGATGAAGACCTACCTGTCTTGGTTTCTCATGTCCTCATTGTTGCTGATAGCCTATAATTGAAACGATAGTGGCTAGATTTGTGAAAGAGGCAATCTCCTTCAAATTTATCCCAATGATGATATCTGTCTTCTATATCTTCGCTCCCCCCCCCCTGCTTCTTCTTCGACTGACTTGTTGGTTTTTGCCTGTGTAAGTCTTCAATTTCATATGAAGTTAGACGACTATAAGTCATCTGCAAAGTCCAGTTCTCTTAGAGTCTTCTTATCTGTCCAACATATTCCTGTCTTCTCACTCCCTGCGCACGAGAAAATATATATTGCACTGATTAAGGCACTCTACTCGTACTCATACAGCCAGCCAGGTGAGGGCTTACGGGAGTTGTCATCTGAACTGGTGACGACTAGTGGTGTCCGTCAAGGATAACCATTATCCCCTTTTCTATTCAACTTCATCATAGATGTGTTAATGGACTTAACCCTAGGTGACTTCAGCGACTCAGGGATTGACTTGCTACCAGGGAATAATCTCGTTGACTTGGAATATGCAGACGATATAGTCCTCCTAGGCGACGACTCTGACAAAATGCAGAGTCTTTTAAACACCTTTAGCTGAAATCTACGAATGTTTGGCATGCGATTCGCTCCCGCCAAATGCAAGATGATGTTACAGGACTGGACTACATCGACGCCTAGTTTAAAAATAGGAAGTGAAGTGGTTGGTAGAGCACGTTGACCGCTTCACTTATTTGGGAAGTACCATCAGCCAGTGCCAACGGGTTGATCTCTGACGAAATCTCAGCACGAATACAAGGGGCTCGTTTCGCATTTGTTAGTTTACGCCGACTCTGGCGTAGACGAGATGTTCGACTATCGACCGAAGGGCGGGTGTACTGCTCATCAGTCCGCTCCGTCCTCCCTTATGGCTGTGAGTGAGACCTGACCACTGAGAGTGGAAGACATGAAAAGATTAGCTGTCGTCTTTGATCATAGGTGCCTGCGCTCTATTTCCCGTGTAAAGTGGCATGATAAGGTGAGCAACATTGAGGTTAGGGGTCGGTCAAGTTCTAGGTAAACAGGGGAAATCAATCGACGAAGTCGTGAAGTTACAAAGACTGAGATGGTTAGGACATGTGTTACCTATGCCAAGCTATCGCCTCCCTCGACAGTGAGCAATGTTAGCGGATATAGGGGCAGGCTGGAAAAAAGCTAGCGGCGGTCAAACAAAAACTTGGCACCAGTCAATGAAATCCACAACAGTCAGTCACGTAGGAAGGTGTAGACTTCCTGACTGGTTGGGGTCCTCGGGACGGTAAAAATCTTTGGTTGGAAACAATTGGTGACATGGCTAGCTCAAAATCGTTCTCAGTGGCTAGCGCAGATGCATCCACTCCTTGTGACTTATGATCTCCAATGAAACTGTTTTGTTCTTCGTTATTACTACTCCTTTGTCTCACACCTCTGCTCACTGTTTCTATTATGCTTTTCTTGTACTTTCTTCTCTTGCTTCGCGTGCTACACGGAGTGTGGCGACTTGAACTTCCGCACATTTGTGCGAAGTTCTATGTCGAAAACAGACAGACAGATTGCGCACGATGTAGCACATTTTCCAGTTCACCACAATGAGGAATATCATCGGTAATAGTAGGCAGGCATCCTTGCCTTACTCCTATCTTCACTTCAAAGGCTTCACTGAGTCTTCCGTTGTGGATCACGTGACTGGCATGTGACATTGTCAATATAATTCTGGTTGAATGAGGTTGCTAAAGATTTGGATCACTGCACACTCCATAGTGTGTTGTAGTAGTTTCCAAATTACGTTGCAGTCAATGCTCTTGAAGGCTTTTTCAAAATTGATGATGTTGACCTAGAGGTTCGACTTCACCACCCGATGCATTCATATCGTCGCCCATGAGGATTTTTATGTCACCCTATTTGAGATGTTGTCCACTACTGTTTGTAGTTGTCTGTAAAAATCTTCCTGCTTCTCTTGTTCCGCGTTGTTTGTAGCACTGTGCGTAGCATTGGATAATTGTGACCTTCCTTTCTGCCTTTTGAGTTGAATCTTGCTGTCATGATCCTGGATGAGGAGATTGGTTCCCACTGCATTAAGGCTCTGGCTGCCACTCCTTCACTGCGTTCGTGGTTGTCGTCTGGGTTACCAAATGAAAGTAGACTACTGACTCTCTCCACATCCATTCCATCTGCTCTTGCAAATATCCATTACATGTGATATCTTCGCATTTCTTCGGCTACCTGGGCCTCCCGTCCCCTTCTCTAAATTTGGTTTATTTTGATTTGACACTAGTAACTAGTGTGATGTGTCTAGTCTTCTCTTTGGTGCAGACTGAATTCTATCAGTCAGGTTTGTAATGTGGCCATCATGCCACTAGGTAACTCGCCATCACGGTGTACATTGATTTGATGATATTAGATGGTTGGAGGCAATCGGCCACAGGAAGCCTTGTCTGGACCTAAGTTTCGTTCTAGTTGGCACACTCGTCAGCAAGGCGAAGGAACTCATATCCCTTCTGAAATATCCACTACACCCCTACAGGAAGGTGGTTAATCACGAACCCGAATAGCTCAGTGGTGGTAACGTCTCTGACTGCAGGTAGCACTGAGTGATGCGGGTTCGAATCTCAGAAAGGGGATATGAGTTGTTTCTTCAAGTTGCTTGCAGATACATCTTGCTGACTGACGAGTGCCAACTAGCATGAAACCTAGGTGGTGTCGATGGCTTCCTCTGGCCGATTACCTCCAACCAGCTAACATCATCAAGATTGTTGTTATTTGGGTTTTTTTTTTTGTATATTTTTAATGTGTTTTCCGTGTATTGATGGTTCTGTAGCAGTTTGATAGATTTAGTGGTGCGGGGTTGCTAGCCCCACGCCTGGCCCCCTCGTCTCTTTACCCTGGGCTTGGGATTGGTTAGTGAACTTAGACCGAGGTTAATCCTTGGTTGATATGTATCCATATAATATGTGTGTTTGTTGACAGTCTGATATATTTTGCTATGTATATATGGATCGATATTCCATTATAATTAGCCAATCATGTTAAGACTGTCTATTGATTTGTTCATTTTTAATATTCGCTCACACACTTGTTCGGACATTCTTATATTTTGCTCTCACACTCTTGTGTGACATTGATTCTCCTGGTGTTTTGGAAAATAGAAGTATCGTCGCAAACCCAGTGGTCTTCTGATTTCCGTCTTTCTTGCGTCAGGACTATTAAATTCTCGACCAGTACATAACATTGGTCTAACCTGAAACCAACAGAAATATAAATTCATCTGGAGAATTTTTCTTAAAATGGAACAAACAACTAGGATAAAAATGTCATGATGAATGTCAGTGTCCAGCTGGCTCTTCCTTTCCCTGCCTGCCTGCCTGCCTCTCATACACTCACGCACACACACGTACACGCATCCATGTTCAAATCAAACTTATGTATAACGCGTTATGTACTTTTTCCGTACATTGTAATCTCAAAAATAACACACACACACACGAGTATTTGCCGTGTTTTGTACTTTTTTTTCTATGTGATTTTCACATATGCACATATATATATTTCTGTTTGTGTTGTCGCTTCTTCGCGTGTGTGTGTGTGTGTGGACGTTGTTCCCCGCCACTACCCTGGTTAAACACAGGCGTTCATACGTGTCCCCATGCCTGATGGAATGTCATGCATATATGTATATATCCCCTACACTATTTGGTATGATTCCCTTTCTGATGATTTTCTCTGTAGACATAACCTAAAACTAACTGGACTATGCATCCATGATTTTTATATCCTATCGATAATCGAAAGAGACTGTAAAACGCCAAAGGCGAGAGAGAGAGAAAGAGACAGGAGGGGGGGTGGTAGGGAGTGACTATGAGTCATACAATTCGTGATTGAAATTTTGTTTTTGCCTAGTCAAAAAACACCCAAGACACCAATCAGTGACACAATAAAGAAGAAGAAGAGGAAGAAAGCGAAAACAAAAAGGAAAGATGAAATATGATGATGGACGCGAGGGGGGCGGGGTTAAGAGGACGCGGAATTGGGAGTGGGTGGAGTGGTGGGGAGGAACA